TGATGACATCAATTCATCCATGTTTATGGTTGAATTTATACAAATACTTATTTATATAATAAATTAATTAATTAATTAACATAGCATAAATTACCAATCATTTCTTATTCTATACTTATGCACGTAATCTTCGTAAAAAATGTTGATCATGCAAATCAATATATTCAAATGATGATTAAGTTTTATTTATAATTATAAATACAAAGACGCATGAAAATTCTTCAAAATGAATAAAATATTTTTGATATTAAATATTCGATTTTATAAAGAACATCATATTTTTCTTCAGCGTATTTTAAATCTATTTAATTGAAATTTTTTATTTTTTTTTTCAATAATCAAGCCTTTTAGGTGTGTTATTGAAATCAATGAAAACTATTATATCAAAATACCCTTTTTTGTTAGGCAATAGTTTGAGTTTGATCTTTATAAGAATTGATCAGATACTTTGATACATATATATATATATATATATATATTTTCAATCTAAACTGTAACTTGAGGAATGAAAAAATTAAGCGTTATTTTTCTTCTGCAGTTTTGTTTTGACAAAATCGGAGTTCGAAAAATTATATATTGAGTTCAAACTTACAATGACTATTTTGTCTATAAAAAATAAATGTATCAATAATTATTTTAAAAGTCTAGCATTTTCTAATGTCAAAAGTATGTTGCACAAATAATCTATACTAGCATAATTTTATTATATAAAACTTTAAATTTTTTAATTACTTGTTTAACTGAATGAACACATTTCTTATCTGCTTGTAAAACTTAATTTAGTATGAAAATCCGAATTGATTTGGAAAATATACTCATGTCTATGAATATTTTTAGCGATTGCAATTCCAATACAAGAAGTATGCCAAGTTTCAGAAAATTGAACAGATCGAAGTTGATTTTATTTAAAATCCTTAAATTGGACTGCATAGACAATCTCTTATTCTCATTTATTATATTATATTATTTATTTTTAGATTAAATTTTTCCCCAAATGTGTTGAATTAAAATGTTCATTCAATTATCCATGTCCATTTTACTTATATCGTAAGAAAAAAGACACTACCAATAAGTTGGGTATTTATTTTGTGCATACTTCTTAAAACTTCAATTTCTTGTTATTTGTTAATTTTCATAAGAGAAAGTTAATAGATACTATGTGTGTATATATGATACACTCATATTTCGAATTATATGCAAAGATTAAAAATAAAACTATTTTTTATTAAAATATCAAATCAAAAAATGCAAGAAACTCAAGTAAATTATATCTTGCAGTATTTATATTCGTTAGCTTCTTTAATACAATAATTAATTTTATTGGAAAAACTTGTGTTTACATATTGAATCATGAATTTACTTGCTTCAGATAAGATTGTGCATGTGACATAGTTCTGAAAGATGTTAACATAATGATTGCTTTTAATTATCAGACCAACTAAACTATGTTTTAACTTAAATATAGTTTTCATGATTCATGTTGTATGTCTTATCCCCTGTCTAGTTACACACATATGAACAAGTCACCATGGACAAAATAACATTCAAATGATGTCCTCATAGTTACTTTAAAATCATTAAACAATTGATATCGATTTTTATCTGGACTGTTTCAATTGGATAATGAGTGAATGATTGGATAATTTTTTAAACGGAAAAATTTGTAGATTATAATCTTGTCAAAAGTGTTCATTCTTTCATAATACTGAGTTTTATAGTTTGTCATTATTCAGTAATAGTGTACTCTTTGCATCTATGTATGTCTTTCACCTTGCATCAGTTTTTACAAACCTGTAGTATATTGACGATATAGTTTAAGTGCAGCATCTTAGATATCAAAGATTCACAAAATGCTGGGTTAAATAATAAATAAAGAAATAAATGTACTCTGAAGATTATGTTGTGAATATATTATATGAATATTGAACATGAGGCAAAAAGTCGAGGTTGATGTTATGAAGGATACCAGAGACGAATTTCAACCTTGTATATTTTGGGTCCATGGTTTCTCCATAGCAGAGGATGGAACAGAACCTATTGATCTAAGTTGAAAAGAATTATTTGCTTGAGGGATACATCAAATTACTAGCGGAAGAATAATGATAACTTCTTTGCTTCACATTAACTCGGAAGACCACAGTTAAGGGCCGCAACGAGAAACTGTTGCATGTTAAGGACGAAGTACGGGGCCGGAAGAACGATGGGCGTGGTCTTCCAAGCCGAGCAGAAACTCGTCACAGTAGAATATGAACTGTTGCCATCTGTAAGCGACAGTGGATCCGCATAATTCAAGCAACATAAGTCGATATTAGGAGATTTGTACCCGGAGCCATATCGAGGGAAGAATTATTTCACAAAGAGGACAGATCCCCAAAGAAGGGGAGAATGGTGGAAGAACGAATGTAAGCAGGAGCTTCAGAATAGAGATAAAGCCGGAGCAGCAAGCTCGGTGCATAGATTTCATATGATGCACGCAGAGTTATATAGTCGATGTTGAAAATGCTCATACTCGTACAACGATGAACACGAATTCACAGAAATTTATGTAGACTCGAAAAAGCAGGAGACTTCAGTCGTAAGGAAAGATACAACAGCTGAAGTTTTCCCGTCTCGAGCAAAAGAAAAAAGAAAAGATTGGAGTACTGTACCGGTGGTTGCGATCCTGAGCAAGCTCCGAGCTCACAGGCGTATGTTCCGTTGGGAGGCCTGCGGTGCTTGCGTCCTGGAACGCTAGGAGTAGTACGAGGCGACAGTCTGTGAGAGCGTCCCTGGTTCTCAGCCTTCTCAGGGTGCCTGGCTTGGCGTTCCCATGCATGGATTGGTGAAAACCTGGCGCCACGTGGTCCATCCCCAGCAGTTTCCCATACCATGCATATGTCTGGCCTAGTGATGATGTACCATGACATCACCATCATCATGGCCATCGATGCCTGGATTTCGATGAGGATCCACTCCACACTATGGCCTCCTCATCGGCGCTAACGGTATTCCTGTCTGACTCCTCTCTGACAGTCTCTGCGAGCCTAGAGACGCTACAAATGTTTGTTGCGCCTCCTCGATAGGAGAACGCTCGATACAATGAGGAGGATTGGGCTTTCGGCGCTTTTACGACGTTCAAGGGTATTGTTCCCCACCATACCCTTCTGGAGTGTCGAAATGTGCGATACGCTGCATTTTGTCGACAAAACAGTCATCTCGGAAAAAGTGGGCGGTGTATGATACAATATGGTGCTCATCTTGATGAAGACCAGGAATCCAGTGCGATTATGTTGCTTTTTCGAGAGATTTGCTTGTTTGTAGCTGAAATTAGCGCTGCTAAATGCCGGTCTCGAAAAAAGTCGTGTTGGAAACGTGATTTATCTCAAAGCTGGTGGAATACTTGCTTTCGAATTTTGTCTCTAGGCAGCCCGGGTGGAATGATTACAGACGGTGCAGGCTATCAGAGCTGGTCAATCGGTCAATCGGTCAATCTGCATCGTCATGCTCTGGGAAGGGACGATGAACAGTTTGTTCAGTCCTTTCTGATGGTTCTGTGTGCAATTCCTTGAAACACCTTCCTGCCTTGGAGCAGATCCAAGAGATTACTAGCTGGATTCTACGGTTCGCTTTTTCGGTCACCTTCGTCGAAAAGGTCAATTCAGTCTCTTCAAGGTTTGTGGCTTCACACCCGTCCCCCATATTTATATATATATTTTACATGTATATGAGTAAATAAAGAGAGAGATATACGAGTAGTTCATACGACTTTGTGCCAGATAGCGTTCGAAATCCATTTGGCACCCAAAAGCTACATTCATGATTCTCGTGGCAGAGCTTTCGTCTTGGCGTGTGCATGGCACTGGAGTCCAATCAACAACTTTAACAAAAGCTAGAAAATCCCGATTCGGATATTTTAAATCAATCGCGGAAGCTTCACTCAGCAGCTTGAAGAAATGTACTAGCTTGAGCTAGTGGAAGACAAAGTGACCAATTTGCGATGCTTTTGTTTAAAATCCTTTGTTTTTGACGACCGTCAGGCTGTAAAAGGTCTGAACTTGTTCCATGTTCTGAATCACTCCCGGAAAGTATATGGTCTACATGAAACTGATACTTTCGTATTATGTTTGAATGTTAAGTCGGACGACTTCGTTTCGAACTTTGTAAACATGACGTCTCTTCAGAGAAAGTGCTGTTATTTCACGTGCTTGATGATTACCGAAACGTCCGAAAATATCTACAAATAGTGAGAATAAATTATGGAATAGGAGTGGAAGAGATGACACTGTGTACATCGCGACTCGCGAGTATGATGCCATGAGGATTATCCATTTGAAGCTGGTACTTTTTGCCCAAAAGTTCGTAAGTACGAAGAAGTAGTCGAAGAAGATGTCACGAGCATGTGCCCTTGCTCAACGTTATGCCCTAAAGCACAATATTCATGACTTCATCGGAGTATCACCAAGACCTTTATGGACCACCATTGGAGTGATCTTCAGAGTTCTTCGATCTTCACATGGGCTTCGGGATACTATATTGTACTCCTCAGATCCCGCTCCGAGCTGATGGCCTCCCACCTTCTCTTAATGACATTCACAAGAAAATGACGAAGAATATGTAAGACATCGCGTTTTGGTTACTTCAGATATCGATCCAGAAAGAATGAGAAGTTCACTTGCATAATAAAGTGACGACAGACATAGAGAAAATCTGTAGGGATCAGGGAATCGGGTACAATCAAACATCACCGTTTTCTGTTGACACCAATACGAACTTACTCATTGACAGCCGTTGGAATTTTCACATTCAAAGAAATCATGACGTCCACTGATGTGCACAGAACAATTTAGCTTACATGGCCTTGATCTTACTCGGCGGAATAAGTAAGCAGTTCACATACACAAGACTATGACGACATTTCGAGTGCAACACAAGCAATGCTGTTGAGATTTTGATCCTAACCAAGTCTTCATGCAGCAAAGGAGAATCAGTGACCAATAGCGGCCAGTGAGGTTTTCACATACATAGGAAAATGACGTCTGATGAGGTGCACAGATCAATGTAGGTTTTGAGCTTTTAGATATTACAGAAAAGCCTGAGTGGTTCGCCTACACAAGAGTGACGACTCTTTCGTGTGCGGTGATTCGGTGAAGTGCTCACCGATAGGAGCAGGGCTGCGAAGGGGTTTGGATACTACCGTACGTTCGGAGCCCTTTCCTACTGTATAGGTACAGGTCAAGCAGCCTTACAGATGTGGGGGTTTAATACAGAGAGCCGGTTCCCTGCACAGAGTCGACTAAAACTAATATTAAGACCATGTGGGTGCCCAATCCTCGCTGAGCGACGCAGGCCGTGTGCAGACCTCTCATGCTTTTGCCGAAAATCATTGGTTCTCCTTATCTGCAATCCACGGATGTTGGCTAGCAATATCCATATGCATAAAACCTCAATTAGGTTTTCTCCGTGTGATAGGACACAGGTGCAGAGGATAAATCAACAGTTTCTCTACACGCAGAAACGGTAAGGGAAACACACACTAGCTTTCTCATTATTGCACATGGGTTGACCACAAACCTCGCCCATCTAGGTTTCGAAGGTTTTGATACTACAAGTGGCAATGCTAGAGTGGAAACCACGCCAGCCGCATGGCGAACAGTGGTTTACTCTGATACCACAGGAGCCGAGTGGCCCACTCCAACTGTACAGAATGGCGTACTTGTGCACAGTTACTGAGAAGACGAGGAGGTGCGGCAGTTCCTGCGATGCGATGGCAAGTTCGAATTGTGCTAGCCAAGGACGCAGAACTTGACGGCCAGAAGATGATAAAGTTCCAGGTCTTTTGATTGAACCGCTCGAGGAAAAAGGTTCATGTTTCATCGGGAACGCATACGTGCGGTGAGTAAAAAACACCAGAAAGTATTATTGGGGCGCACAAGGATCAAACTTGGACTCCAAGTCGAAGGTTCGTGACACCAGGCCCCGGGCGCTCCAACATAAATCGTCTTTCCACTTTCTTTAAAATATACCGCTTTTATCGTATCCTGCACCTCTAGCGACACCATGATAGACCACAAACATTCTACTGTGTAACTTGTAGCGGGTCCAAAACTGCGACACGATGGGCCACAATCATTCCACAGTTTCTTCTCTGATAGCGGCTGGATAATTTATAATCGGTCCTAGCTTCTAAGGTCATCTTGCGTAAATCCTTAGAACATTGCCTATGTAGACCTATGCGATACGAGCTTTCCTTCTTTAATTCTCACAGCCACCCGCAAGCTCCAAAAGATGCCTAGCATGAAATGGGACCTGCACCACAGACACGGCGCTGTAGACAAGAGAAAACGGGGGCTGATTGAATCATGTTCGAGAGGCTCCAAAATCCCAAGATTCTCTTCCACCTGCGAGTTGAACTGTATCAGAACACGCCTGCGATGCTGAAATATTGCGGAGCTTCTTTTGGTAATTATTGGCCTCATAGGAACTGATATCAATCCAGATGACTGCATGAGACGAGTTTTGCGAACAAGACACCGACGACTATTTAAATATATCGTTGCACAATACTGACTGGTCAAAGGGGTCTTTTGTAATTGGGTGTGGTTGGATTAGCCTAATCTGAACTCCGTGTATTATCCGACTAAACTGAATCGATGCGGCACCCCTTTGAAAGTGAATAGTTTGATACACCTGCAGATTCTGTTTTGTTTGTTCTTCGGATTTCTGATCATGCCATTGCAGTAAACAATTAACACATAAATCAAATTGTGTTCGTCAGGCGTTCCACTGCTATGTCCTGTCCTTCGTTAATTGTCTCAGGATGGTCTCTTCCGTTTAGCGCCTAGCTTTGCAACTCGGAGAAGACAGAGTTTCCTCCGTCTAACCTTATTTGTCGAGTTTCGAGACAGTAAGTTTGGGTCCTTGATGACTTCCTTGGAATAGAAACTGAGAATACCTGATCCTATGCTATGGACTTGCATGTCCGCGTTGTAGTGTGCATTCTGATTTATAAAGAGGTGTTTGAGCCGTAATTTCTTGCCTTGGTCCGTGTGACACTCCGAACCTGTACCGTCAAAAGTCTTTCGCCAAGGAGCGAATAAAAGAGTCAGTTAGAGCGAGGCACGTGTAATCTGAATATACTTCAAAGAAAAGCTTTGAGTTTGTTGGGAAAGAATTCCTCGACCTATTTCTTTTAATTAGTCAAAAGATAGAATTGATCCTTTGAACAAAACAAGGATTCCGATTCCCCGTGTAGATGCTAGACCCAAGCTTAAGGTGGCCCCAGTTCAAGCTAGCAGTAGAGTTGACTCATGTTCATGCAAACGTCAAACGGTATGAGCCCCATGACTGGATCTTATTTTATTGGGCTCTAGATCTCACACTTCGTTTCAATAAATGAAGGATGTTGAATGCCAGCGAGTTGAGATTTGGCACTATCTAATGCATGCTTGTTTCTCGAGATTGACAACTAGACAGTCCTTCGGATGTCGATGTGAATCTAGGTCCAGGGTCCCACTACTAAATTCCAGCATTTACCGCAACCGAACTTCAACCGCTTTGTGTTCAAAAAGAGACCCTTGCATAGGTTCCTTTCGTCTACTTTGGAGATAACTAGTAGATGGAGGGTGCTGGACACAAATGTCCACAAATGCTCGATGGCCTCTTATTGGTGAGGAGAGTGTCTTAAGATGTTATTTGCAAGATCCGAGAAGATGTGTTCGATATACGATTCTGTTGGCTGACCCGTCACGAAGAGAAATCTCGTCAGTGACAGTTGGAGATTAAGGGCTTTCCACGCGAAGACAATCAGCGAGCAAATAAGACAGTGACATACACAAAACACCGTACCCGAAGACAATCTTTGTTAGGTGATGGCTTGTCGACACCCTGCGGCCGTAGCGAATGTTCACATTAAGCGTCGCGCGCTCGATTCCCATTCATCCTGAAAAGGCCTTCCACTTCCACTTCCACTTCGACTTCTACTGCTTCTCCGGTGTTCGGCAGCGACCACGTCCGTCCGCGGGAAAAGGGCCGCGGCGCTCGCAGCGACGAGGCGGACGCGCAAGCGAGGCCTCCGACACGTGGCGCGCTCGCAGCCCAAGGCGGAGAGGAGGGCCTCCGGTGCAGGCGAGCAGCAGTAGACGAAGGTCGTCGTCCAGTTCGAGTGGCGATCGTCGTACCATACATAGACACCGACTGTCTGCATCCCACGCGAGATGGTAAGGGAAGGGAAGGGGGAAGGGAAGGGAAGGGAAGGGAGGGCAAGGGTTTCTTGGACGTCGAGCGGGGATGGGGGCCGGAGGGGGCGAGAGTATGGGCAGGGCAGGGCAGGGCAGGGCAACGGGGGAAGCGGCGGGTGCTGGGAAAATACAAGGGGGAGGGGAAAGAGAAAGAAAGACGCGAGGGGGTGGGGGGAGGGGGAGGGGGGGAGGTGGGTCGCACGGACGGAAGGGGGATGGGAGTGGCTTTCTCGTTCACCAAGAAAACAACTGTGGAAACGAGGATCGATTCGAGGAAAGAAAAGCAGTACGATAGATTTTTGGGTCTGAAAGTGAATGCATATGGCAAAAGTGGAGGGAGACAATGTTTCATGTGAACGGTTTCATCATCACGTGAGGGTCTGCAATTTTTGTTGCAATGCGATCCAATGGATTCCTGCCTTTCATGTGAAGGTTTCATCATCTCACGCTCATTGTGTACAAATAGAATCGTTGACAACTGGGGGTATCTTTGACATGTATACCTGGTGCTAAAGGTTCTTTTGCGAAAGGAGTCTGTCGTCCTATTGTTTCTTATTTAATGTTGTGGTTCAGGTACAAACCCCGTTCGGGAGGGATCAGCCTACCTTTTCGATTAATTCCTCCTCCGAGCCTACAGAACGCCTTGCAGTCGCACATGCTCGCGCTCCTGTTCTCTTGTAGGGGAAGTACTAGCCTTCTCTGTCCGGGGATCGAAAGTCCGTCCACACTTTTTCTGTCTCCTTGTGCACAGGACGCAGTCTCTGGGACGAGACAGATGCTCGATAGATGTACCAGGAGCTCTGTACTCGTTAGATGCATCGTCTGCACCTGTTGAGTAACCCTTAGTGGCGTTGTCATGGAATTCCGACGAGCACGCTGTGCAAGCTCAGCCGTGTAGGGCCACAGCTAGGATTCGAGCTCGCAGAATACACAATGTCGAAGAATTATCCTCGTCGGCAACGCCATGTTACTGTGAGTGATAATTCTATGATTGCAGCCATTACAGTCCAAGTTGCATGACGGCCACATGCAGATAGCATCGTTCCTCAGTCTCTCAATGTGCATCATGAAAATCTTACGCGAAGGAGTCAGGATAGCTGTGAGCCTGTGAACGCCCCTTGCACTGTACAACAACAGCTATCTATCGTAGTGGTGAGTAATGACAATGTAATGGAATGATGGTGGGACCACGATCACAGAATCGGCAGACTGCACTCCAAACAGTTACTATGCGCGGAAGCAACAAGGTCCACTGAATCGTTCCCATGTCTTCCCCGGCTCTCTGCACTCCGATTTTTCATGCATCGATACACTGGACGTAGCGAGATTCTCTCTCGAGTCTGCGATCTCTTGTCGCAGGCAATCTACGAGTGAAAGCAACAGGCGAGCTTTAGGGGAAACGGTATTGAACGAGTGCGAAAGTCCGGCAAGATGACAAAGACCCACGAGTTCGGGTTAGATCGAGCGATATCTCGTCTTTCGCTGCGATACCAAAACAAGGTGGACTTTTGGGCTTCTTTTTCTCCCTCGGTGCAAGTGAGTCTGTCGCTGCATTGGTAGATAGTCGGAATTAATGCCTCCTATCGTGCTTACGAGCCGTTCTACGGGGCCCTGTATGGAGCGCGCGCATCCACAGCCAGACTGCCAGTGGTAGCGTACTCTCTGTATCCAGCTAATTGTCTACCTTCTCGGACTATACATAAATGTACCCAGGCCTTCTCGGCGCTCAGAGTCCACTCTAGTTGTGAAAGGAACAGCGACACTCACGTAGTAGCTGTAGGGCATCCAGAACCAACAGAGGTAAACCAGAACTATATTATGCGCCATCACATCGCTGGTCCAAGAACCACGGTTGCTACGCAGCAATTGGTGTATATGTAGTCGAATCTCACCAGAAAGGCGATTGCTTTTCACAGTAACCTACGAGCACCAGGTCATCTAGCACCTAGAAGCTGTGAGGGAATAGTGTCAACTGACTCTCTCGCAAAAACAGTTCCGAAACAGTAGCATCCTGCCTTTTCACTCTGAATCGGAACTGAGGACAAATGCCAATGCCTGTATAGGGAGGTGTGATCTGCCGGCGTGGGAAACATGGGAATTGCCACGATGGGGAACAATGGTTCACGAGTCATGCCTCCATACGACGTGTGATAAGATTCTCGACCAATGTAACCGACTGAGGCCTGCTTGTTCTGGTTCCTCTTGGTCTCCCGACAGCTATCGAGTCCCCCGCTACCAGCTAACACGGACCAGCGCATCAAGCGTTTGGCCGATCCGAGTGCGACATTGCAAGACGGTTTGATTGGAGAACATCGGAACTTAAATGCTTAAGAATTGAAAGCCGATTCCCTGCAAAGAAACCGTTTCTCAAGTTTTGTCGTGTGAACTGAATGTAGGGCCCAAAACATCACGATCGTGCGTCGAACGTCAGACTTGGGGCGGTCACATTGAAACTTATGCTTCCCTTAGTACACAGTACTGGATTCATTCAGCATTGTTCTTGCCCTAACCAATATGCCATTTAGACCAGCATCGAGTGTACGCAGATCATGGTTAAAGGTTCTTATTTGTAACCGGGCCTCCTTTGACTAACACAGTTTTTCGTAGAAATCGTGCAACACTTGTTCGAGCGCAACTGAGCTTTCTAATCCTTGTACGTCTTGGATCCTCCTACTGACAAAGATGAAATCATTTTCGTCCACTCCATACGTCGCAAACCTCTATACAAATTGTAGGTTACCGAGATGCTCGTGAACGAATTCGTGTCATATGCGGGACTAGAGTGTCGTCAGGCTCTTGAAATGTCTACCGAAGAAGGCATGCCTCGGGGAAAAGGCCTCTTTCAGAAATTTGTCCCAAGTATATAGCGTGGTGTGGTTGACTCTGTGACATTAAGCTCTTCTGACAGTTACAACCGATTACAGTGGTATAAAGTTGCAGTCCTAGATCTTTTTCATAGTCGCAATGTAGAAGAAAATCCGTGTCAGTAGACTTTCTAGACAAATGGAATGGACAGCTCAAACGATTTTGTCAGTGAGTACAGTATTGTGAGGTAACAACGGAGAGTTCTTGTGACAGAACAAATTGAGATTCATAAGAAAGAACTTGTGTGAGGTGATCATAAGTTACACATGCCTCTCAAAAGAATCCGCCTTCGTCGTATGTTTAACGAGTAATTCGGGTATGCTTTTAAGATTTCTCCGAACCTCAAGATCGGAACTCGACGCAGCCCTGATGGCCATGCTCCGCGTGAATTGTACCCTAATTGCTGCCAGCTGCAAAGACTTTCTATCGCCTCTAGTCTTCTTCTTTACGTGAGAGTTCCAAAAGTCGCTAGCTAAGTTCCCGACACGAGAACTACTAGGGCCGTGGCAAATTTGGCTGTAGCTTTCAGAAGCAATAATCTCTATCCGCACCCCTCAGCGTTACATGATAGTGGGCATTTGTAAGCCATTTGTGGTGCTCGATTCAACTTCTCCGACTTCAGCAGCACGAGCTCCGTCTCGTGTAGAGTATTCTCTCATTTCTCGAAATCTTGCATGCCGATATCATTACTTGATAAGTTATCCGCTACCGCAAGATAAATACTTGTTGAAGATAGCGTACATAAGAGAAGCACGATGCCGTCCACACTGTGGTCTGGGAAGCCTAGGGCACCGTTTCCCTGGTTCAAGCAAACTCGTAATCAAGAGATTGAAGAGGAGCTACTGGCGAGATTCCGTACAGAAGCAGAACGTCAGGTGCCTGTTTTAACAAATGAATCTAAATGAATCCCGTCGAACTGTATGTATGTGGCAGCGTCTATGGCTATTCTCCATCCATTCTCCATCCGCTTGCTTCTGCATTGAGGCATATTGTTATGACACAGTTGATTGCTGGTGCCAGTAAGTGCTTCGATAATAGATTGCTGCGAAGCTTACGCTGTATTGTATTTTCGCCGTGGGTACAGTTTAATATGCGTGAGGCCTATCAGAAAAATATCTACATACGCGATAAATACTTCAGACTGGCAAGGAAGAAAAAGTTGTACGATGTAAGTTATCTCTGCGCATCTGGGATCGTCTTAGTTCATCTATTTCCAGAGCCAAGGACGTGTAGACAGCCTTCAGCTATACCTACCCTCTAGAGGGCGTATGTTCATGCATCACAGAACTTGGGCTTCAAATTCATGTTGACAGCTTCCGTTTCTGTGGTAAGGTGTTAATACTCAAGCGTCCTAAGAGAGGCAATCAGATAGAAATCGGACTAGATAGTGGTGCAAGGTCCATGGATCTTTAGCCAGGGAACTTGCGAAATTGCGGCATTTGGTGAGCTCAGCATTGAGATTGCGTGTCCTCCTGATGAGAAAATGATACTGTTCAACATTATTTGGAGGTTATGGTTGTTCATGTAGGAATATCGAAGAAAAGTGTTTGGCAAGCGGGTCAAAGAGGAGTACGCTAAAGCTTTACATGCAGCTTTGCGGGTAACATCCAGGGCCCTAGCTTTCTTCGGTCTTTATCCTTGATGAATAAGGCCGTGGCTATTAAAGTGCATTCTTATCATGCCTGTTACTGTTTTGATGGAGTTTAGAGAGAGAGGTATACCAGTCTGATGCGTGTGAAGACTAGCAGTTTACCACTCTAACATGTAGAGATGGGGAGAAAGATTGAGATCGGTTTTCTAAATTGAACACATTGACGCTTATCAGGAAGATCTGTCTTGAATATTGTTGTGCATGATATATGCAGACGTCCTGGCATCAAATGGAGGCAATCGAAGGGCTGAAGGACATGGCCGCAGTGGAGAAGGTAAAGCTGTTGTGAAATGTCTTCTTTCGATGATGATGCTAAATTCGTTGAGTGGGTTCGGCTGTCACTTGACCATCTTGTTTTTTAACGAAGCAGTGAGTACAAGTTTTTTTCATGTGTTTTTTTTTTGGAAATATATGATGGGCTGTTCGATGAACATCTCACCTGGATAGCTACTGGATCCCATGTACATGTTTGGTGGTAGTTTGCTTAGGAGAAAAGCTACATCGTACTTCTGACGATGCAAGAAAGGGGATAGAATCGGCCGCTCTGACTCGTGGACGTACGGGCAATCTTCTCGTTGGCTGAGTATGCATATGCAATGTAGTAGTGATCACAACAGCGGTACGTGCGTTTATATCATTCTTAGCGCAACTATATGAGAGGATAACGGAAGTTATCAGTTGATGGGATTGAATCACAGGTTGCTACCAAAGAATCACTGGCGAATCGAGAAGAATGGATACGGACACAACAGGAGCTCGATAATTTCGATCTCAAGCGTGAACAAGAATTGCAGACTGTGGAAGCTGCTTTGATGCCTAAGGGTAAGGGCAAGGGTGCCAAGGGCATTGGAAAACCTCCAAAAGGTCCTTTACCGAAAGGCCCAGCCCAGCCAGTACGGAAGCTGGCAGCCCAGAAAGGGGCGAAAATGCCTGATCAAAAGCAAGCAGACTTGATTGAAATGCCAGATCTTGTTCTTATGACCCAGGTGAGGTTATTGCAAATACACTACATCAGACAATTTTCACCTGATGTAAAAACTTTGAAGTTGTTTTGAGCAAGAAGGTGTTTAGTCTGATATGTACATTTCGCTCATATCTTGTGAATAACATACTGTGCTAAGGTGATTGTTGTTGTATGTGGGTAGAGGGGTAGAGGAGTTGTCGAGGTTAGCAGGTTCAGGCTTCACTTCTCACGCTGATTTTTATTCCTTTCAATCTCTATCAAAAATCACAGAAAGTCGGTGAATATGTAGAAGCAGTGAAAGCCAAGAAGGAAAAGGAAATTGTGGAGAAGTTTGAGCGACAACAACTTGAAAGGAAGGTGAATATCCTTCTCTTTATGCCGAAAATGTCTGAACAAGGAGATGTATGCGTTTCTTCGTAGAGTCGGCCAAGCGATTAACCGGGGTTACTGATAGGATGATGTTATCTGAATTTCCTCCAAACAAACAATCCCCCCACCTTGGCACATATTCTTTCAAATAGACCATTTATTCATATTGCAGGAGGGACTGGAGAAACAAGCTGCAGATGAGTTGTTGAGAAAAGAGATGGAAGATTTGAAGTCGAGGGCAAGATCGTGGGAGCGTTTGAATGGCCAGGAAGCCATCAAATTGCAAGAGGAGCAAAGAATCGTTCGAGAAGAAGAGGAGAGGCAGTTTGAAAACAGGCGAATTCTGTCTTTGGCTTTGGTGGAGGCTAGGCGCTTAGAGTGGGAAGAGGCGCTTGCCCGCGACCATGAAATGTTTACTATGATGCGGGAGGACTATAGTGATGAAGTTTTCCAAGAATGGATGAAATGGGAGGTATTTTTCTGGTCAAAACCTTCTTGTTGACCACTTAGCATATTGAGAAACATTCGTCTTAGAAATATTACACAAAGCCGCACTTACTGTTCTGCTGTAACTCTGGTATCAAAATCCGATTTTTTCAAGGATTCGGGTTTTGATTCATGTTATGAACGAGTACCGGACAGGCAAGTTTCTCTTTTCTGTTTGTTGTAATTTGAGGAATGAAGATAGGTTTGCGGAGTAGTCTTCCATGTTGATGGACGTGGTAATTTGATTCTCAACAGAGCTGAAGTCTGCATCGCCTATGCAGGAGGAGAAGGAGAGGAGGTCTGAACAAAAACGGTTGAACCGATTAAGGACGTGTACAGAGATCATTCTACAGGTTGTTACACGACCAATTTACATCTGATCGTAGCAAGTTTTCCAATATTATTTTTAAAAAAATTACTATTTCATTCATGCAGGCCTGATGTCTAAATATGATTGCGCCTTGCTTTTTTAAGTTGACCTTGTTTTCCACTAGTCAGTATCTACGTGCTTTCACCTCTTCTCTCTCGAGTTTATCATGGTAATGTTTTCTATACAACTGAGTGGGCGAGGCAGCATCCGCAGGTGGAGCAATATGTTAAGCTTATAGATTGCTCCAAACGATTCGTGTGATCATTTATGTATTTTCTTGCCTTACGTGTAAAGGACACAGTCTCTTCCCAGACAAAATGTTGTGAAATTATTTTCCTTCAAAAATAAGATAATGTGCAGATTCTATGGTGGAGGTTTCAACTGATATGCAGTTTCTATCAACTTTCTCCAAGGAAGAGTTAGGAGCTATTTTTCAGGATAATACTCGTCTTTTTGCTGCTATACAACTATCTTATCATTATCTGGACTGGGTCCACTGCTTCTGACCATTCTGTTTCGAATTTCCTCGTGTCCTATTGCTCATTTCAACGATCTGGGATTCTTGTCTATACATGATAAACTTCAAACGTCAACTAATATCAACAGTGGGCTTAGGTCTTCAGCTTTTTGTAGGTATACTTACTGATCAGTACGGTCTTCTTACTAAATTTTCTCATGAAGTATAAATGCAATATTTTTTAGCACCGTGTGTGATTTTGTTTAGTGAATGACATTGACCCCTTATTCGACTTACTGCTGTCCTCGATCATGAGGTTTTGCCAGCGAGATGATAGTGGCCAACCTGCTTTGATTTCAACAAAAGACCCACTTTCTTATGACAGTCTGAAATATGTCCTCTCACTTAGATAAGGATATTTTAGGAGAGACTGATTTTATGATGTTTTGGAAATACTAGATTGTCACGCTCATGGAGATAAAAAATGATTACAAGGATGAGTTTAACAGTGAGATGCCTTCTTCGACCTGGCGTGGATGGAAAACTTTATTTATCAAAGGGTGTATACTTCCTTGTCCCATTTGGAGTGACGATCTTCCACCAGAGCATCCGCGGTCTGATCCAAACGAGATCTTCGCCAAAGTACAAATAACAATCCCTCTACCTGCTTCAAGTTACCTTCTTTTATGCAGCTCCGTGAAGTTCCAGTTGCAGTTTTAAAACTCAAGGAGCGGGATGAGGTTGAAATCTGCAAAATCACAACGGGGTAAAAATTTTATAGTGAGGTTGCAAGGAATTGCTTATGCTTCCCTTGTAATTTTTCCCCATTTGCGTTTACATAATTGGGAGTTCCATTCTTGGAGGATTGCATACTCACATCCGCTGCGATGGGTCACATCAACTTTAGAAGCCTGTACCATTTTTCCTGCTCAGAGGGGTACTTCAGCTGTTTCCTTCAGCTCGGACTAACAGCTGTGCAGATACAGCTTTGTATTTGAGGTGGTTAAAACATGTCTAAGGATGGAATGTAGTGTAGACATGATTTGACGTCTCGACAGAAGCCAGACATGCGGTTAATATGCTGGGTCAATCACTTACCATCGAGAGAAGATCAAATCCTGTTGTGTTCATAATTGTGGCAGGAATATATGATACAGTATCTTGAGGAACAAGGAGAATGGGAGAGTGTGTACGTCATCGGAAAGAATAAAGAACTTGGATGTATTCTATGGGAAATACTTGGTGTTGCAGACAGTCGCCCACCGCCAGCATCTGAGCCAATAAATTTGACGAAGTTTAAACTCAAAATGGCAGTCGTAGGTGCTCCATACACAGGTGCATAAAGTTCCAACTCAAGGTTTACTTTCTTGCAATGCTTAGCGGGAGTAGATTAACGTGTGGATACATGCATACTCCTTACATCTTCTAGACTGAACCGAGGAAGTTGGCTCACCAGCTAGTTGGATCCAAGGACAAATCAAGCTCATGTTAATCTCCGCTCATAAGATTCGCCTTCTTGTCTACAAGAGGAGAATTTTATTGAGGTCCTTACGTCAACTTAAGTTGTATTGTTCTTCTGTGAATGGATAGGGAAGACAACCGTTGCAAAAAAGCTCGAGCTTGATTTCGACATTGTGAAGATTGATCTTCAAAATGTGATGTCTTCAGCTCTCGCCCTTGCTGAAGTTGGTAAGTACTCTGAGAGGCAGTGTAATGTCGGCACTGAAATTTATCAAAGATGAAATCATTCATTGTAGAACACGAACAAGGAAATTCGACCTTTACTTGTAGTTTTTGTATTCAGAGGAGCAAGAGCATAAAATTCAGCTCGCAGAAGAGGATGCCAAGAAAGCGGAGCTAGAAGCTCGATTAATAGAGGAGGAAAAGCAGAAAATTAGGGATGATTTAAATCAAGAAGCTTCAGGCAAAAAGGAGATACTTTTGAGAGAAAATCGAATGCCGGAAGAGCCACCACCTGAGGCTCCACCGGCAAAAGGTCCTAAAGGTGAAAAGAAATCCAAAGATGAGAAGAGTCCAAAACGAGAAAAAGGTCAAGAGAAGGAAAAGGAGAAGGTAAAGGAGAAAGAGGAGAAGCAGCCTAAAGGGAAAGGGAAACAAAAGATGGAGCAAGAAAAGGGTATAGATATCTCTTCAGATAAAACTTCTAAAGAGGAGGTTGAGAAGGTGGGTTTGAAACCGATGGAGACAGCAATGGGAAATACTGAACAGCCGAAATTAGTTTCGGAGACAGTACCGGCGCCCGTTCCGGATCCAGTAGTAGATTTATCCTACTTAACACCAAAAGCACGCTTTGGAATGGATATCAAACTGGCCCGGGAGAAAGGAGTACAGGTACAGTCTGATGATACATGTCCATTCTTATCAAGCTGATTGGTAGCCCTTATGACTTTTTGGGAATCTAGTTTCTATATTCTTTCTATATTGGAGTCTTACATCATTGTATAGCGGTCCTTCGTTTCCATGGCGGTTACAGGTTCTCAGAAGTTCTAGGCTATGTAACATGAATATATGAAAAAGCTGCGCGTTCACAGAAGCCCTAAAAGGAAATGTGCAGTCAATTTAGCAATCTTATTTATACGTGCATTTCTTCTTGCAATGTTCTTGCGCAGCCCCCTGCGCAGGCGCTTGCAGGTCTGGTAGTTTTGACTATGGCAAACCTGAAAGAATACGGTATTCTCTTCTGTACTCTTATTGACTTTAATTGGCATCTTGCCTTGCTGATTAAGACTGTGTAGACAATAAGGAATTAATTTTCTCATAAGGATGATATCGATGTCCATCTATTTACTTTAAGCTTGATATTTGATAAGCAGACTAATCCCGGTAATTATTTGGCTGGTTGTATGTTTTGTGCGATATTCATCGACGCAGCCGATGCTTTCGTTCAACTAGCAAAACCTACAAAAGGTGAACCTTTTCAGATCTGCAGCTAGGCTATCTCTGCTATCAAGAATGTTGTCTTTCCAGATTAACCGGCTGAATTCTAATGTTTCAGTAAACACTGTGTTTGAGAAGATTGGGGTATATTATTGAAATCATGATGACATTAAAATTGGAATTGTCATTTTTAAATGAAAAAGTTCTGAAGAACTTCCCCGAAAAAGGCTACTCAGGATTTCTCTTACCTCTTCTGTGTAAGTGGTTATCAGGAGCCAAAGGTGCACCAGAAAAAGCAAAGAAAGAGGTTGCTAAGAAAGGTGATTCCTTTTTAGCTCAAAATGATTTAATAGGACGAGTTCGATAATGATTTGAAACTACGTGCAAGTACATTTCGAGTTCTGAACAGCTTGATAGTCTCACACCCTTCAGCTCTGTGACCAAAATTTTGCTCTGGCAGTTGATATATCTGGAACCTTTCCAGAATCAACGACATTTATAAGGAAGTCAAAATGTTCTACGAGTTGTTTTTACTGATCCCTGATGAGCTCACAATTCTGGGAGAACTTCTACTAACGTAAGACATTATATACAGTAGTACCCCCTCTGAAAGGAGGTAAAGGAGGTCCGAAGGGCACTGTTACGAAGGGTGCACCTGCAAAGAAAGGCACCTCCGTGGAACCAGAGGAAAAGCTATGGGGCTTTGTCCTCGATGGTTTCCCGAGCAATGCCGAAGAAGCCAAGGCCCTGGAGCTGCAACTAACGGGAATGGACCCAGACTATATGGCTAATCATCTCGCAAAGGCCTCGAAAATTGCTCCTCCACCCCAGTTAGACAAGGTGAATTCAAGTCCCAGCCTAACATCAATATTGTTCAGTTTAAATGCGACGCTTTACAATGTCCTGAACTTGGTCATTAATAAGAAGAATTGGCTCTAGAGTTGTGAAGAGGCATATACATGGTTTTGAGTTAGCATGCAGTTGGTAAGTATTTCCTTTAAGTAGATCTTCAACCGTGACCATCAGACGGAACTATCAACTTCAGTACTGGATGGAATTTTGCAACTTGAAGCCATCGAGGAGAAAGAAGCTCTGAAACGAGCGATGGGCAAAGTACTAGACCCCAAGACAGGGAAAATCTATCATCTTGAATACGATCCCCCTCCTACCAAAGAGAAGTAATATGCTCAACTTGTCTTCAGTTTAGTACTCACCCCAATTTCACTGCATTTAATGTTTGTATGAAAATGATTAATTACTTCTATTCTATGTTTCCTGTATTTTCTACCATCAGATAATTTTGCCTCCTGAACAGCTGTTGCATTGTCAAATTGCAGAGGTCTGGCTCAGCGAGTGAAGCCAATTGAAGTGCTAGAAGATGTACGCACGAAGATAATTGCTGGAACAGAAAGTTGGGGTCGCTTGTCCGAGTACTTAGCCCAAATCTCCAATTTATTTTCCGTGGCGCAAGTTGAGGAAGATAACAAGAAAATCATTGACACAGAAGAACCATGCAATCTCGCTCAGAGGTTTTTAGATGGATGGAGCAAAACGCAGGCTGCTAAAGCTGCGGCTCAAGCTGCGCTTCAGGCAGAATCAGCTACAATCCAAGCCTTGGGTGACGCAGAAAAAGCTAATCAGGTCGCCAGTGAGGTTGCGGGGCAGTACTGGAATGCAAAACTTGCTGAAGTTGAAACCGAGAAAGGGCTGGATGCTCTCGGAGGTAACCCATTGGCCAAAAAGCTTGTCAAGGAGAAGGTTACTGTAACGTTGGCAAAGAAATTTGATGAAACGTGCAAGGCTGTACAAGAAGCAGAAGAGGCTGCAGACTCTGCACGTGCTTTTGCTATGCAAGCTGAACAAATGGCTCATGAAGCTCAAGACAAGGTTTCTGAGGCAGATCTGGAGTTCGCACACCATGTCAAGGGGGAAGCAGAAGGAGCAGCAGAATGCGCAAAGGAGGCTGCAATTAGGGCAGAATCCTCATTGCAAAAAGCAATTGCAGCCTATGAGAGTGCAAAGGCAGCTCTCAATCCCCCTCCCGAGGAAGAAAAGGCACCACCTGGAAAGAAAGACAAAGAATCTGCCAAAAAAGAAAAAGAAGCTGGTAGTAAGGAGAAAGAAGGCTCAAAGAAGCAGAAGGAAGCTACCGGAAAAACCGATCCTAAAGGTGCCAAGAAAGAAATTGGAAAAGCCTCCGCGAAGGGTGGTTCGAATGAGGCCAAGGTATATCATCATTATGCTTCACCTGTTGAGCTAATAAACATCCCTAGAAGACTTCCAACGCAATCATGAGAGTCCAGCTTGATGTTCACTCCAAATCTGCTCGTTCTTCTTAGAAAATGCATGTGTTTGTCCTGCCTATTTTCAGTATGGAGCTCACCACGTGGGGAGGTGTTGTAGTATCTTAAAATTCTAAACTCTTTTGCAGCTGTTGTTTAGTGTGTCTTCCAAGTTATCACCAACACTGCATGTTTCTCTGCTTTACTCTGATGAGGAAAGCAGAGATGATGATCCCCTTCTTCTTTCCAGCCGAACATCCCCAATCAAGAACATGAGCATCTGCTCGTGTTGCAACTTGATCCAGGAACCTAGTTCTAAGTTGTTGTCGATGTGCGGTTCAGGAAAAATTCCAAGCAGGCTAGAATAATTGCCAACCACCCTAAACCTTTCTTCGGATTTTGTAATTGGAACCAGTTGACTAGAACTTTAGACACGTACTTCAAATGCGTTGTCCTCGAATATACTCCTGTAGACTCTCCTCGATTATCCTAGCTACTACTCTCCCTGACACACAGATGGGCTATGAGGAAAAACATTAATTTCGAAACTCTACATACAGCTCTAAATACAGTTGACCTGAAAACAAACTCTAAGTTTAACTACATTGATACAGAACTTCAGCCTCTTACTTGAGGCTTCTATTCTAACTGACAACCTTATCATAACGTAGGTGATAGTTGCCAAACCATACTTAATCCAGATAGAAAAATATGAGGAACAACAGTCATTTTGGAACTCTACATACAGCTCTCCAGACAGTTGACCTGAAAACTAACTCTAAGTTTAACTACATTGATAACTCCAGCCTCTTACTTGAGGCTTCTATTCTAACTGACAACCTTATCATAACGTAGGTGATAGTTGCCAAACCATACTTAATCCAAATAGAAAAATTAGTATTTGTAAACGCAAAATTTAGTAACCAGAATTTTGTTTTTATAAATCGATAGGTTCATTCTAAAGACAAGAAGAAAATGACTATGAGACTATCGCTGACATCTTTGCCATTGGATGAGGAGGTTCGTCGAGTATCGTCTCTACTATGCTTTCTCTGATCTTTGTGTCCCTGGCAGAAGTGAGTTGGTAAACACATCAGCAATGATATCTGTTTTAGTTCAGCAATAAAGCAATGTAACTATCTTTCCACTCTTTTTTCATAGAAAAAGTTTTAACCTATGGAAATACGTTAAGTACTAGTACTAAGGATGATGAACATGTCTCTTACTGTGTGCATTAGTTCCATTGAAATCACACGTCAATATGGATGGAGATTGATTAGTATATCCAAGTTCACTCACTGTGTGCAATAGTTCCATTGAAATCACACGTCAATATGGGTGGAGATTGATTAGTATATCCAAGTTCACTCACCGTTGTCATAGATCAAACCAAATTACCTCCTAAGTGGCTAGTGGAAAAAACCATGACACAACGTAAAAGATAAACACCATTGATGATCAACACCACGCATCTTGAAATCACACTCATCGCCTTTTCTTTGAGATCTTATGTAAACTCTATGCACTTCCGTTGTATGATCAATGGTCTCTATTGATCATGAAATGGATTCATGTAGGTTTATTTGAGAGACCACTAGTATGTGATAGATACGTAGATGAATATCTATTAGATTATTATTTATAAACAAAACTATTTCTTTAAGATATTGTCGTGTAATGAAAGTTTACATATGATGTCAATCTCTTCAAATTTTTGTTGTTGTTGTTGTTTAATCTTGTTCACAAAGACGTTAAATCTACCAAAAGTCTCAATTTTTAACTTCAACAAGAATGCAAAAATCTTTCTACTCTTGTTATTAATGAAATCTAAATATCACTTTGCACCATGTAAATTGTTTTTAGAACCTTAGCTCACACACTCTAACATTGCTAAGTTCTTGGTAACTGATGTTTTGTATTATCGTCTCAAAAAAACCCAATGATTCTTTTTACAAGCTAATATTATTCTTCATCTATTTCAAGAGTTTCCTTTTCAATTGAAATGAATTGTCATGCTTTCTCATTTCACAATCTTCTTCAAACAAACAACCAAAAACTCAAAATATATGTCAGGTACATAATTTTAAAATTATTTTCTCACCTCAAGCAGGTTTAACACTTTGCCATCTTGGGTATTTTTGCACAACACATGTACATCCTTTCATATAGAACATAAGATTCTCTTAACTCAAATTGAATGAGCCTCCTCTCATATATATATTTTTACTAAATAAGATTCAAATTTAACTTTTTTCCCCAACGTAATTTGTTGATTTATTATAAAACAAGAATGTGAGATCCATCATCGTTTTCAATCTTTACATACCTTGACAATTCCTTTTAGTTATTATTTTAAAATGTTTCAAAGCTCATTTCAGATTTTTAGGTTGAGTCTAAATACCATTTACATAATTCTTAATTTTTTTCTTTCTTCCAGTTGTCATACAAATTTAGTTAGTGTATGAGGAAAACCTAACCAAAACAACATCATTTTCCTTTTATCAATCCTTCCTCTTATGCATCAAATTTAGACTTCTCCTCTACTTGAAAGAGATGTAGCCATCTTACTTTTTGTTTCCCATTTTCTAGATCAAAGTCATTATGGACTTTATCATCATATGTTCGAATTTTTTTTGGGATGTTTTCGCTTTGTGAACCATCCTTGCTTTTCCAAGTCATAAACTTCATCATTCTAAGAAGTTTACCATTCCACTATTTGGTTTTCTGAGCTATTGAAGTACTTGCTTATCATGTCTTTGGATAATAATCAAAAATTTTCTATTGTACTATATTCCATTCCATATTAGCCCTAGTTGAGACGTATAATGCAAATTTTACTCACACACAGCCATCCAACATAATCTACGCACATAAATAAATAGTTTACCTCTCAATGAGGCTACTTTCACTGGAAGATAATTACTTTTTACCACATATATAACAGAGAGCTTCTGTTTAGCACTCTTATTCAGTAGCTAACTTAGTCAAACTACTTAGATTTAACAAAGACTAAAGTGAAATTCTAATTCTAATTTGCTATCACTCCCCCATCACTCTCACTTGAGGTACAAGCAACATCAATGTTGTTAGTTGAAAACTATCTTCACACTTCAATCAAACGTACTCTGACTTGTGTTACTATCAAATGCAATATATACATATTGTAAGTTCATGGCTAAAAAAATTGAACGTCATGTTTTAATTCAGAAACCTAATTTTAATAGAATGATCATGCTAAACCCTTCTTTAATCTCAAATTAAAATAGTCTATATTAGTTATCAAACTTCACGGTGACTATTTTACCGAAAAAGTCGGTAGTTTACTATGAGAGTTACTACAATATATCATGGTAGCTGCTAAGCAGCTTCATCATGTTAGCGAGGCGCTAGCATTTGGTTTTCATGTATGAAGTCTCATTTGTGTGCAGGATGATTCTTCAAGTCCCATCATTCCAAGTCAAGAACTTGTGTCCCCGCCAGAACCGATCATTCCTCCAATCCTAGAAAAAGACTTGGCAGGTTGGTTACCAGTCGTTTTGCAGCTGTAATGAAATTTGCATATAGCCAAACGTTTGTTCCTGGTATTGACCCTATTTAATGTTCTGACGTGAATGCCGGGGCCATTGAAGCTTCCTCTCCACTCTAAAACCTAGGAGGAATTTGGATCTACGAAATCTGAAAAATTGTTGTGGACTCTTGTGAGATATATGATGAGACGTGTACCATCATTGCATGCTTGAACAACCGTCATATCTGAACAAATGTTCATGATCATGAGGCTGTAGCGACTGGTAGTGAATACTGTTGTGACTAATTTGTCATGCATCCGGTGCAACAGTCGAACTTCACGTTGAGTGGGAGAAGATAGAGGCCAAATACTTTCGCGACCTTGAGTCAGTGTTTTATACATTGCACCAAGAGCGAGCCAGAACACGAGATGTTGTTGTGGAGGTACATTTCAGTCTCCCTAAGAGGTACATGTGCTGCTTTTCGTCCGCCTTGAACTGATTCTCAAGGATTAATTTTAGCAATTCTTGGATACCATTGTAGAATATCTGGGACCTTCAGTCCATTAAGCTAGCATCAGGAAACTAGAACCCCCTGCAAACCTACTACCATGGGAGCGGTTGCTCCTGTGGTTGTATTTCTAGGCTCCCGCACTCTCTCATAGCCTTATATTGAAACCCAACCTTAGCTGCATGCAATACATGATTGTGGTCGTAGAGGTGTTCTTTTACATCAAAACATTATAGGTTACTTTAACACCATGGCAATTCCATCTCTAAGAAGGAAACAGACTTCTTCACTTCTCCACATAAGTCCAAGGCTCTGCCAGGTTTGAGGCCTCAAACCTGGCATGAGCCTATATTTTCTTTTATAAAATAGCAAGATCTGGGGATAACACTCTTAATCGCGTGATGTCCACTTCAGCTCAAACAAAATTAACTTATATACTCTTTCGGATATTGGACTTGAGATTTGGTCAAACTTCGATTTATCTGTGAAAGACAGCGACATTTACCTGATGCAAAGACTACTGCTGTCTTTGGTTTTAGGAAAAGGATGGGAATATGCAACCTTGAATAGAAAGATTAATCGATTTGGTGAATGGAAGCTTACGAACAAAATGCAAGCAAAAAACAAAAAGCAAAGAGTCTGTCCCTAATCTAGAAGAAAACTATCTACTGAACCTCAAATATAGTAAGGAAGAGAAAATGGGGCCACTTCGAAGCAATCGACTCGGTAGATGGTAGCTAACATATATATTATATGGGGACAACGTTCTCATTGTCCTCTCCTGAGAACTCTCACTGCTTGCTGGCGGGTTGTAACATGGCAGCAGTGAGAACTCTTGGATTACTCTTAGAATTAAAACTAAATCTCAACATAAGTGAAGTGGATAAATAATATAGATAAAAGGATAAAAAGTATCCCATCACGCCCACATGGATGAAACCATATGGTGACATAGGGCTATTACCTAATAGCATCCAGATGGAATTTACGTATTACTTCATCTAAGAATTTTGTATTATCTAGGTTAAAAGACCTACAAAGATATGAGTATATGAAAAAGCATCACATGAAACGATTGCCTATTGATTAAATGTAGCTAGTGATATCAGTAAAGCTTAATATAGATTATACAAGAAGCTGAAGCGTGTGATATTCGTGGTTTCCTAGCATACTGCGCTCTCCATTAATCTCTTACTAACATTTTTATATTGCTGTCCGTACTCTAAAAGAAGAAAGAAGTGACACATGTGCATATCACTCTACATTGATACCTTGATTGCTAGAAAATTGAAGTGAGAAGAACTCAGTGTGATCGACAACACAAAATAGAGTTAGAACTTATTTCAAAACGATGTTTTATGCTCGTATTTGCTTTGTACTCAGTATGTTTACCAAATAAGGTTTGTACAAGGCTGATACTTTTATCGCAACTTTTACAGACGGTATCCAACTTTGTGGCTCATCTCCAAGATAGAGACGAACGGCAGGCGGTTTTCAATGATTTCCAGGTGCCTCATTATCATGTCTTAACACCTGAAAGGAAATTTTAAGTGCAAGCATTTATTGGAGGCTAAAGACTTGTATCTTGAAGACCTCTATTTCTTTGGATGTTCTTTTTTGGTCACTCTTGGACTGATGTTGTTTCTAGTTTGAAGAAACTTTTATCCTTGGTCTTGGTCTCAAGGTAAGTTGATGGTAAGTCTCAAGGTAATGTCTACTGGAAGACTACAGATGGGAGACCATCAAAGATTGAAATTCAAATCAAATTGTCCATTTCTTTGAGAACCTCAAAGAAACGGACAATCCAACTATTTGTTGAGTCTCTCTTTCTGTAAAGAATCTGCTGTATGCTTTGAGGAGGAAAAGAGACAAAGCTCTGTTCTGCTAGTCATGCAGATTTTATTTTGTGACTGAGCTGTGGTAAAATTCATGGGGAGCTGCAATAGGCTCAATAGAGCTTTGTGAAGATTTCTTATTACCCAAGCAATGACAAATCACTCTCGAGCTCAAAATGTTGGATGTGGGATAAATCAGGAGAAATACAACAGAGTGGAGATGGCTGATAGACGGGATAAGAAAGTGAAGCCAAAACTTGAGCAAGAAGTAGTCAAACTTGATAAAACCTTGAGTGGGTTAATGGAAATACGAACGAAGGTATTTTCCTTTCTCCTTTTAGATTCAGTTTAGATTTTTAGTTACGTCTTGAAAAGTCAAGTGTTGATATCACTTCAAAATGATCTGAAACGTTTTTATGATGATTTCGAAGTTGTTGTTAGTATTCACCTCTCAAAGTTGTTTCATCTTTATGACAGAAATGCTGGGAACTATCGGAACAAAGCTTGATCTCCTTGTTACAATCACGTGTTGCATCCTTAGTTGAACTGTTCACGACTTTGGTTCAAACAGAGGCAAGCATTTGACCTCCAAGCAGTCGACACTATGGGGTAGCAGTCTCTTACAAGCAAGTCGCTAAAAACCTTAGCAGTTGCCAGACAATCAAAGTAGCGACATCATTTTGAGTATGTGATTTATGCCGTTTTGAAGAAGATTCGTGCAAGTATAGAATTTTTCCTATGGTATATTGAGATTCATCTGTAAAATCAAACTTCATATATGACTTGCAATCACTGATCAACACTGCTCATAGGACTGTCCCTAGACTGACTGATTTCAGACAGTTCTTTTACTCGATTCCAGAGGCAGAGTAGGTAATAATACTTACTTCAATGTCTTTCTACTCCTAGATTCTGATGTGTAGAAGATCACACTTTGAGCTTTGGTCCTTAAAATGTTACCGATAGAACCCTTCGTATTCTAACCCAAAGTATGGGGAAGAATCATGTTTAATTTAACTGAAATTTGTAGCAATTGATGGAGATCTAGCTGGACAGGCACCTACTTACATGTGGATTTTTGAATGAGTATTTTAAAGTGAGCGCTGGTGGTGAACCATCTTCTGCCCTCTGTTTCAGGCACAGGTCAGGAATAAAACCCTCAGTCCTTCTCTTGTATATGCACAATCAGTCACTTGGCCACCGTCGGAGTAGAAATGATAGTCATAGAAGGTTTCATTCCAGCACTTGAAATGTGCAGTGCATGATAGCAACATTGATAGAGAATGATCAGAAAGATGATGTGACTCTTCCAGTGCACAGAGAATGGATACTGCAGTATAGAGGTGGGGATCAGGCTCGCAAAGCTGCCCTTACCGGAAGTAAGTCTAGGGTTAAGCTTATTAGTTCCAAATCATCAAGAAATAAGCTAGTGCAGTTAACTGCAACTAACTAACATTTGGCTGGCAGAGATCCCGATACCGTCTTCATTAACTTGAGAGAAATAAGTAATGAGCCAGTAGCGTCATTTCCAGTACCAGGGTGGCTTATCGCCCTCTCGTCACCGTTACCAAAACTTCACAAGGTATGATACATTCAAAACAAGTCTCACTTTTTGTTCTTGTTTGGCCTCCAAATATTCCTTGTTTCATTAGTTCGTCTGACCTGCCGAGGTGGTAGTAGTGGACAGGCAACACATTATATAGCAACACCCTCTCAACAAGAAGGTGCTTGAAATTATGTCTTAGAATTTTACATTTTTTCTGAAAAGGTAGCTCTATGGTTCTGAACTAGTTTTTCTCGTTGACCTACAATAATTCAGGTTATCATGACAGCTATGTCTGCGGCATACGACGTACTGGGGACAATTTTTGGACAAGGGCCAGACGCAAGTGAGAAGAGTAAAAAGAAAGGTGACAAAAGAGAGAAGGAAGATAGTGATAAGAAGAAAAAAGGCGACAAGTCAGACAAAAAGTCAGAAAAATCAGCAAAAAAGGACAAAGGCAAAAAGTCAGAGAAACAAACTGACGATGCTGATGTATTACAAGAAAAACCGAAAGAAATAGTTGAGACTCCACCCCCTCCAATTGACGAAGGAATCCCACCAGCAGCAGGCCGTGAGCATCAAGTCCTCTTACAGCGTTTACAGCGCATAGGTGAGTGGAGCCGTGGTGCCTTTTTCCCTTCGTAATCATGAAACTCATTTTACGATGACAGTCAGATATTCTTTGAACATCTTGGGACTGGTATCTGAAACTATGTAAATATGCCTGCTTCTTCCAAGTGTGGTCTATGTCATTTCAAAAGATTGTTAGAAATTTATAATACTTGATCAACACCATGTTGAAGCTTCTCCTAGAAATATGCAAACATGCCTCAAGAGATTTCATCGCTAGCACTCTGGAGTTTTATCTTCGGGAGACAATCTTCGGATTAAACTTTTTGAAAGTGTAACTTATTGCGTTTGTCGTTGCAGCTAAGGTTGCAATAAACTATTTTCTTGATTTGCAACCAATTGTGGACGGAGCATATAGGCGAATGGATGAATGGGGAAAGTCAAGGCTAAATGTAATATGTACTCTCAATTATCGCTTCCAGACGTGTTACTGGTATTTTTCATTCGTCATAGTCGATGGGCTTAAACAAGTATTGTCAAGGTGAACAATTGTATCTGTAGCAACTCAACTTGCTTGGATTACGGATATGCTATTTAATCTACTGCCTTCGTGGCGTATATATTTGAGACTGACTTTTTTGGCTCCACAAATTGACATCACCGTGAGTTCAGAGCATGAGGGCCAAGTAAAGGCCAGATTTTGATCGTTATTCATGTAGATCAGGATGCAAGAATGGGTCTATCTTACATAGCAGAGCTTTTTCCTAAACCTGCACATCACTGGTAGATGATGACAGGCAGAAGCCGAAGTGGTGAAAGAGGTTGTGGACTTGGCAAAAGAAGCAGTGGACGAAAACATTCCGCTTTGGTACAAAGTCTATCTTGATGGAGACCAGTTCAGGATTGACGAATCTCAGCTTCAGCTGGTGAGATGAACTTTAAATTTTGTTGAGCATGCGTTCAGACGTGCTGCGCAAAATTTGGTCGTATCTTAACTTAAAGTATGGCAGTGAAGTAATAGTTAGAACTGATTTATTTGAGGCTAATGGATCCGTTTAACTACACTTCAGGAGTGCTCAGTGTCAGATCTGACAAATCTTGACCTTTGGCACTGCAAAGTAATGGAAACTCTTCTTACGGACTTCAGGAAGCTCTGTCAAGGAGGTATTTCCCAATATCTTACACCGAAAGTTTGAAGCAGTTTTTTAAATGGAATTCGGGTCTTTTGTTTCTTGGAATTTCATTTGCTTAGCTGAATTTTAAAATTTAAATTTTGATACTCGGAAATCATTGCAACAAGTAATTAAGATGTCTTCCAGATGAATGACAAAGAATGCAGGTGCTCCTGATGATTCTCCTGGAGCAGCCATAGCTTCCCTTCTCACTCCCCTTCCCTACGCCGCTAAGGTTATACTCTACATAGCTATCCCAACACTGATATTGACACCAGGTCAGCTATAGTGCTACTGTACCTCAAACACCACTTCACTCGAGAAAATGATCAGTGGCAACGTTTGTACCGGAACTCGTGTCCCAACCATAGATACAAAGTTCCCGACTCGAAAGCCTAAACTTAAGTTGCTTATGGGTGCTACTGAAGCCCTAAAGTAATTTAGTACTTGTCTTTAGAATAAGGCATTTTCTAACTTCTTATTTTCACACTTACTAGTTTACTCCTAAATACAGAAAGAAACTGACTATGAGATTCACAATTACAACAAATATCATTGTAACGGAGGTAAAAATTTCCCAAGAATGCTAAACGGCAAGTCTGGATACTTATGTTTGTATGCTGAAAGGAGCTCATCATTGTCAAAACGTCTGAAATTGGAACAAGTCTCTTTTTTAAGTTGCTAGATTCGTATCGATACGCCGTCAAGGTCAGCATCCCAATAAAGTGCCAGAACAGAAATATTTTGACGGAATGAACATTGTGCTGCAGGAGAGGAGGAGCCCCCGGCTGAAGGAAAATCGAAAGGGAAAGGATCGAAGAAGCAAGAAAAAGAGAAAAAAGAATCGAAAAAGGGCTCGCAAGTTATTGACCCTTCTTCAACAACACCAGCAGAACCATTAAGTAGGGTCTCAAGCTTAATTGTTACCCAAGAAACATACTCTAATATCTTCAGTATCCTAAGTTGATGTTTTACACATGGACGATGCAGGCAACTTTGTCAGAGTGGGAGCTGCAAAGGCGGCAACAGATCAAGTGTTACAAACTGTTCACACTTCTTTCAAAGATGACTTGAAGGAATCGCTGTTGCCTCGTCTACCAGCTTCAAAGAAAAATCCTCGAGGCCCCTTCCAAGATTGGCAAAACATTTCAAACTTTATGTTTCAGGTATTGATCACTTCATTGAGTATGTGTTACTCAACATGATAAACCAAGGTTGAGAATACAATCTTACTTGCATATATAGTGAAGACTTCAATTTTTTCTAGGACGACTGCGTAATAGGTCGCATTCCAAACAAAGCGCAACCCCCATGCGTAATCAGTTGTACTCAGTTAAGAAATTCTTTCGCTATGTAAGCTCCTGGGTTAAGTTTGCTCCCGTTGTAGTGTCGTTTGAACAGTGTTATATGGATTTGTTAAGTCCATGGAACACTTTTCATGACACCATACATGTATGATTGAAGATACTCTATTCCTATTAAGTCTAGATTCCCGTCTTTAAAACAATGAAATTTTTTAATATCAGGAGCTTCTTGACGATGAGAACAAAGCAAGCAAATTCATCGACTGGAGAGCTTTCTTAATCGCTCTGGTGGATGCTCACTATCTGCACATCATATCTAATGCGACTCGTGAGGACCTAATCAGCACACGAAAAGGTTGCTTTTAACTTGACCTATCTTGCATGCATGGTGAACCATTTATCTTAGTTAAGTCAGAATTTATGTTTAGATATCAAAGTATTTTCAAATCTCTGTTGATTACAAAAGTCTAGAAATTCCTCAGTTGGTGTCAGACCATTGACTAATTTAATTCAGTCTTTTCATAACGATGAGTTTCGTAAATCAAAATCTGACGTGTTCCTCATACCGCATTTATCTATCCGTTTGTCATAATCAGGCATAGATTCGCTAACTTGGTTTCACGCTTTTGACTGTAGTTTCTGATAAATTCTGTCCTAAGCTTCCTCATGTTCTGGAGTATTTGTGCAGATGTTTGAAAGCTTGGATCGTCCTGTGACTTTAATTCATGTGACCAATCGCTGGCAAGCTGGCTTTTTTAAACTACCGACGTTGTAGTTCGATCAAGTTGTGACTGACAAATTGTAGTTAGCTTGTACGCCGATGTTTTCATCTCCCAGTCTTTTGATAAGTTTTTCGTCATCTCTGACAGCATTCATTGAGTTTGCCACGACAGACAAGCCTCCAGAAGCTGCTGGTTTTCTCACTCTCGAAGAATTTTTAAGGATTCCTTTGTGGTTTGACTCGAGTATGTGCTTTCATCTCCAACCAGGGAGCTTATATTTGTGCTTCGAAAATGCTGTCATCTAAAATCCTTTGCACAACCACTCAGATTGTTGACTTAAAAAAAACCGTTTGGTTTTGCCGAACCAATGTAATTTTTTTTTTGCCTCGAACATCCAGCCACTCCAATACCCGAAGGAGAATTCGACCTTGGAATTTCGGTGAAAATATTTGTGTTCAACGTGCTGGATGATGGAGGGAAAGGCGTACCTTGGGTGAAGCTTCTTCTATATCTTTGCCGAGATTCTGACCCATACCATGCTCTACAAAAGGCGTTCTGCGTGATTTCTGGAACAATGTAACTCTCCTGCCACTGAGAATTTGTACTAAACTGTCAATTAACAAGTTCTCAGCATTATCTTCATGAGCATGGTCAAGAATTTCGGCCTCCTAATGCTCTCTTGATCCATGATGAGACTCAGTTTGTGATGTGCACGTGAAATATTTTCAAGGGTGTACTCAAATTTAAAAAGAATTGTCCATTTTTTTCTTGCAGATCTGATGATACTCACTTGACACCCGAGGAAGTACTCCTAATCCTTTATCCAGGAGGCGTAGATGCTTCGTGGAAAGCTGAGATTGTCCCTTTCATCATGGAGGACATACAGGTAGGAGTTCAAGCATATTAGTCTTTCTTCGGCTGTTGAATGCTATTGAGTGATTTTCGTATCTATATTTCTTCTCAGTACCATCAACGGGTGTAAATTAAGAGGTATAGCACGGTTGACCACACTGTGCACTGCACCACTGCCGTCCTCTATATGATGACCCTGCTGCACTCGGACACCATGTGTGCAGAATTATCTTTACTATGTGGCTAGAGAGAAGTTCATAAGGGCGGAGAAAGCAGAGGAAAGTGATTTTGGTGGGTCCGAAGAAAGCGGTTCTCATGATCTAAGTGTGGAGAGAGCAAGCACTGAAAGTACTAGAAGTGAACAGGAGACTGTGGACGATTTTCTAAATTTTTCATACGGAGAGTTCCCTGAGCTTATCCAAGCAGAAACGGTGAATGACTTCCTGGAGTCGCTGGCAACGGTTGCTCCTCTTGACGAAACCGTTAAGGAAGTTCCCAGAGAGAAGCCATTCATATGCGATATACATGACATACCGACGAGACCTGCCAGGGAGTTGAGCGATCCCGACGAGTTTGCCATACCGACAACGTACACAGTAGACGATATTGTACGAACTGAGGCCATGAAACGCTTACGGGATATGCTCTATTGCAACTATAGCTCAGACACTCTGCAGCTCTTTGATAAAACTCCCATTGAGGATGATCCGGTCGAGGAAACAGGTGACGGAAAACTAGAGAATAAGAAGAACAAAGACGAGGGAGGAGAAGAAGGTGAAAGTAGTGACGAGAAGACGAAGAAAAAGAAGAAGAAGGACAAGAAGGAGAAAAAGGATAAAAAGAAGAAAAAAGAGAAGTGACACGGTTTATAACTTGAAGAGCATTCAGTTTTGGAGTTTTAAACACTATGAAGCCCTTTTCGGTTCATCAGTGAACTTGCGAGATGAATTTTAACACTAGGTATTAACACTAGATTTTCACGCCAGGTCCTATTTCAAGTAGGATATAAGTTATAGGGGCAACGAGATTGTTTCGGTATTGCCCACTAGTTCGAAATCTGAATATCCTCTGCAGCTGTACCTTGAGTGGGCAGCTGTCTTCAGACAATTCGTAAATCTTGGAGAGGATTCTTCATTTCCCGTTTGAATGGGAGAGTTTTGTAGCAGAAGAAAGAAGTTTAGACATTCATAGGTGGCATATAGAGAAAGGGCCTGAGCATGAAAAAACATTCTTGACAGCAACAATGACGGTAGTCACACCGCACTCAAGGCAGGTCAAACCTAGCGCAGGGCATTTAGAGAGAAAAAAATAAGGTGCACTTCGATTTATCGGTCTAGAGCGTCATCAGCGCCTTCACATAAAGAGCAATTTGGAAAAGAGATACATTACTGCATATCATGCTCAAGGGCGTTGTTTTCAACAAATGATACCCTGATAGCAAACTTGTCCATCTTCGAAATTCTCGAGCAACATACATTGTTCCTGTGATTCGTGACAATCCTACTGCCAATCTCGACATCAAATTGCAAAATTTGTAGTGAAGGTAATAAACTCCTGATGTCAGTAGGGGACCCACCCGCATGAGAAGACGTAATAATTGTGAGGTAAAGAGACGAAATATGTTTACGGATACTCAGCATTTACAATGCTATGATGTGATGTATATACAAATGCTATGAATGAGAACCTTGTGTATACTGTTACAAAAGTCGCCTGCGCAAGGGCGAAGTGTGCTAAGACCTGAATTTCTAAATGAGTTGACTTGAAAGACTCAAAACAAAATTCTTCGTACTTCACACCCGAGATTGCCCCCGAAGCAAAACCTGCAAATCTAGCGTTGGTTGGCAGGTAGAGAGTCGACAAAAAAGAGCTTCTTGTCCAGGTGCTCTTGTTTCAACCAAACATCTATTGCAGTCCCAGATGCTTCCACCTCGGTCTGCCCTGCAATCGCAGGAAAAGGGGCCCCTAAATCCTCAAGGTGAGCATCAAGAGCTTCTCGTGCAGCTTTGTTCTCGCCCACAATGAGCTGCCACTCCTCCGCAACGAGTATTTTAACGCGTGTAGAGGGCTTTCCTCCATTCAATACTACCTTCCGCATTTGGGCGATCCATATCAGGAGTAAAATTTGGGCCGCTCCAGCAGATGCACCTCGCATGTCTACAGTCCAGCCCGATGACTTAAGCCAACTAAAAACTCTTCTCCCGAAGATTCCGAAGTCCATGCTCATCTTTACCACTCGCAGAGCCCTCAGTTCCCACCCGAACCACCAAAGAGCATCGATGAGCGCGTTTTGAAAACTCCTTTGAGTCTCGAGATTGAATCCGTTCTGATCTATAGTTCTAAACCTAGCAGCTAGATTGACCCACACCACCTCTTCTCCTACACCATCGCTCAAAGTATCCGTCAAGATACAACAGAGTTCACTTGGACAATCTAGTCTACCCAGAGCTGCAACAAACTGTTGGCCTTCTTTGTAGGATTTGCACCTGGGTATAGCACTCAGCAATGCGGTGTAGATGCCATGCATAGATTCCAGCTGTGAGGCTTCTAAACCTCGTAAATACTCCCAAATCTTCTCATTGACTAAATCATCTTCGCCATAAGCAGAAATTATCCCCGTATAGGAGCTTTGATTGGGCCGTCCGATTTTACCAGTGAGGAGATTTTCAAAAACCTCAAGGGCGGCTTGAGGTTTTCCAGAGCGGACATACAATCGCAGCAAAGCATTGCACGCAGATATACTGTTCAGATTGTCCTCTTGCTGCATCCTGCGGCTCAGAGAGTCTGCTTTCTCAAAAAGGCCACAGAGGCTGTAAGCTTCCAGCAGGAATGTGTAGGACTGCGAGTTGGGTGTGACACGCTGCGAACGCATTCTATCCAGTACTATCTCCGCGTTGGCCCAATCTCCTTGTCTCCCATAACCTATCCAATCAGTAACTACAAGCATCAGAATCTTGGCAGCCAAAAATCAGCTCTAGATGTAAAAAAAAGGCAGGGAAAACAACATTCCACTTTCAGGGTGGGCTGGAATTGCTTCGTCGAGAAAACAATTACTTCGTCGCTGTTGACGAGGTCAACACGGACCAAGTGTATAGCCATCTCAGAACTTGCAGTAGTTTATCCAGCTCTTTCTGATCGTTTAAACTAGCATCACTAGAAGGTCCTCAAAGAAATTACAACTGCAAGAGAGAGAACCTCCAGAGTTTAGGATGAATACCTAAAATAAGCCAGTTGAAGCAGGCTAGTGATACGCTGAATCGCTTTTTCTCTAGCTGTGATAATATTTCCTCCGCTTTTTCAATTCGTCTCATGTTACAGCAAGCTCCGAGTAACGAGCTCAGGACGCTTTCATTCACCTGCTCAGGAAGGTATTCCATGGACGTCTTGTATATACTTAGGCATTCGTCCACTTTTCCTTTTCTTGCATGTACCTCAATGAGAACCTTGAAAGTGTTAGAGTTCGGAGTTACTTTCGAAGCAATCATGTCCTTGAAAACTTTCATTGCCTCGTCTGCGTCACTCCTGCCAAACACGAGGAGGAGAGAATTATATATCTCAAGGCTCAGAGTGTAACCTTCAGCCTTCATATCTTCGATCACTCGCCATGCATCGTCGTACTTTGCACCCTTTCCGAACATGAACAGAAGGGTATGATAGAATACCAAATCTGGTTTACTTCCATCGGCGAGAAAAAGGTCCAGTACCTCCCGGACCTGAAACAGTGGGCAACCATCAATGGCTTAATGCATGAGACACAAGAATAACAGAAAAAAAAAAAGATGTGCGGATAACTCCCTCGTAGATGGAGAATAATCGAGTATGGAGTTCCTCTATACACCTTGAACTAGTTATCTTCCAAAAAGTGCAATTCCAGTTCCTCTTGATTTCAAAAGTGTCGATACACCTTCTCTATTTAAGTGAATGCACTTCGAACGCCTACCCCGTCGTACTGCGAAGCTCGGCCGTAGGCGTGGACTAAGGCATTGAAAGTTCTAACATCCGGTTTTACTCCTCGCTTCCTCATGTCTGAGAACCACTTGATCACATCACTCAGACGGCCAGCCTTCCCAAACACGTCAATGAGTGTGTTGTAGGTAATCAGATCAAATTTAATATTGTTGGAGCTGTGAAGTGACTTGGTTAAGAGGTCCACTTGCTCAAAACGACCTGCTTTCCCATAGATACTAATCAGAGAATTGTAAACTGCTAAATCCGGTTGGAGTCCTAGACTTTCCATTTCAGCAAGAAGGGAGTCCAGTTCCTTCCACTCACGAACTTTCCCATATGCATTGACGAGGATGGAACAGGTGGTCACGTCTGGTGTTACACGTATCTGAAAGTAAGCAGTGCAAGAGTGATCAGAGTTCAGATAAGAAAGAACATCAACGGTAAAACTCCTCTTGTGAAACAAAAGAGTCCATCTTCAAGGAGTTATGACGGCGTTACAATAGTCATGACAATAGTTACGTAGACTGAATGCATCACACGTGAATTTCATCTGCGACACACCTTTCGCATGAGTCGATAAAAGCGAACGACGTCTTTTGTTCGGCCAGCACGGGCCAGGGCACTGAGTATTATGTTAAATGTGACAGTATCTGGATCCACCTGTTGAGCAACCATTGACTGATGGACGTGTAGCATGCCCTGTATATCTCCTGGCCCATGCCCAGACTGAATGTCAGAAATTTTGAAAAGTGGTGAAACTACAATCAACCAGCACGTTAAGCATCAATGAGAGACCAAATCGAAGTAAATCTAAGGAGGAGTAGCGAGGTACCAAGTTTGCCGTGGGCATTCAAAACAGCATTGTAGGTGAGAATATCGGGATGACAATCCTGTTCTAGCATTTCCCGAAAGATATTGATCGCCTCCTTGTGGTGACCCTTCCGGCTGTACACGATGATCATAGTAGTATAAGTCACTCTGTCAGGACGAAGGTCATCTTTTCTCATTTGCTCCAGCAAGGAACTGGCAATTTCAAATCCTTTGGGAACCTTCAAACATCCATCCACCAAGATGTTATATGTAGCGACCGAAGGGCGAATACCGGCTGATTTCATTCGATTGAGGACGGCAATCCCTCTCTGCAAGCTTCCAGTTCTTACGTGACCGGAAACTAAAGCTGTGTACTCGTACAGCCCAGGAGTCAATCCGTCCTGCTTCATTCGATCGAAAAGCAGTTCGGCAATCTCCATCTTCTTCGCTTTGCCCAGAAGAAGGAGCATGGTGTGGTACATGCTAGGATCCACACTATACACACTGGAGGCATGTGCCCAATCAAACACTTGCAAGGCCTTCGCCCAGTTCCTTTCAGGTGATGTTCCGAGCTCGGTTAAAACTTGTTTCAAGTCCTGCGTACTCAGTTCTCCAGTGTACTGCTCCATCAAGCTTGCAATTCCTTTCGAGTTTGATATTTTATCCAATGCTTGCAAAATTGAGTACACAGTTGCTGTTTGCGGATGTGAACTTTGTGTGTCTCGCGCTTGCCTCCGAGGAACCACAGTCCTCGATTTTCCCCCGACTGCCCAGACCGGAGCTCGCACGTTCTTGTCGGAAAACGAAGGCCGTGTGCTAGACTGCTCTAGATCCTTGTTGCTCTTGTCAACTTCCGATTTCAACCGCTGAATGGATTTTTGCATAATACTCTCTCGAAACTTTTTGGAACTTCCTGTGTGCTCATGAGATTTGGAGAACCAGGGATCTGTTCCAGATCGCCTGCCGTTCAATACTTGAATATCGTCAGCTGCTTGAATATTTCGCATGGATTTCGGTTTTCTTATCTTAGGAACACTCCCGGAATCGAGTGCATCAGAAGGAGGAGAATCTTGACTCTCCTCACTTTCCAGTGAGATTTCTGAAGCACTCTCCGCAGTTGCTGAGACACATAATGCCCGTCGGTGAGATCGCGAGCCAGCAACGTCAGAACCCTTCCTCGACATGAGAAAGTGGCTAAAACCCAGAGGGTTTTTGCGACCCAGAGTGCCTGCAGGAGAAATCATCATCGTAGTGACTGGAACACAAGAGGAAGGACATCCAACCCAGCTCTTGGCTACTACGAAGTGCAAACCAAGTTCTGAATTTCCACCAGCAGCTCCTCGTCCCAGCGCATGACTGAAGGCATCATCCCCCGGCTTTCTCTCTTCATCTCCGAAGCTTTTATGTACATTGCAACCTGCGCCGCCATGGCTCTGCGAATTCCGTGTTATCCTGACCTGCAATTCACGCAGCAGCAGCACACTCTCCGAATTTTCCCTCTTCCAAATCGAATCTTCCAACGCTTCCTGGGACCGGACGTTATCCACCCGGTAAGAGTTTTCACCTGGCTTTGACATCCGCCCTGCTCCCAATGTCAGGCTTTGCGGCAAATCTCCCCCAAATTCAGACGTCGGAGGAGAAGTACAAGGAGGAAAAAATGGGATGGAGGCGCTAGCCATCGGAGCACTGACAATGCTGCTGGGCCTTTGGTGACAATTTCTACAAGATTCCGTGTAAACAGCCTCCTCCTTGCTGCTGCTCTTGGTGGACCTTCTGTGACTTCCACAAACGAAGGCACGCCCTAAATTAACAGACTGCCCACAGCAGTTGTGATCGTCGAATTTTTGGAATCTAGCACGACGGCTTGAACCATCGAAAACCTGCAGCTGGTGATTCGACGACAATGAAGGCCGTCGTTTAAACTCGATCCCCGCTGCTTTTGCTGCTGCTGCTGCAGACTGCGGCCCGTGCTGCCTCCACCTCCTTCTCCACGAATGTGTAGAACAAAAGGAGCCCGGAGATGCACGAGTGGCTGCTGGGCACCATTGCTCCGCCACGCCATTCATGGCAAAGCCTCCTCCCCTCGCCTCGGAGGATGCAATCTCGCTGCCCGTCCGCCTTCAATCATCATACGCCGGCATTTCCACATTCATGTTCGCCACCGTAGCTCATGGCCAAGTACTAGCGACCGCTTCGAGCAGCTCTGGCTCCCATCTCGCGCTCGGCCACTCGCCCAGTCCAACACTCTCGTAGAGTCCGACTGCGTCCCTGAGCTGCACAAAACAGAGGCGCCATCGGAGCATGATGATAGCGGCCCGGCCCAATTCTGTGGGGGCCATGGCATCTCCCGCAGCTCCCGATCCAGTCGCCAGTTCCTGGGCTCGAGCTTCTTCCTCTTCTTCCCAGCGCGATTTCGCAGGGGAACGAGACGAGAGGCCGAGCGGGAGGAGCGATCGATGTTCATGGACCGAAGTGAGGCCCGGCGGGTCGTTCCGTCGACGGGCCCACCCACCCATCCATCCATCCCATCCATCTGTCCGCCTTTCTGTCAATCGAACCTCGACCCACCGATCGATGTCTGTCTGTCTGGGCGTCTGTGCTCCCACGTCTTCCTGAGATGAGCTTCGTTCTCGGATTTCGATTTCCATCCGTCCAGTGGATCCGTCGACGACGATGTCGTTGGCTCGAATCAAACCAGTAAACCCCAGGGGTGAAAATCCCGATTTTGTTTTCAGATAAATCGGGTTTTTGGTTTAATACAACAAAACTCCATTTTTGGTGATAATTTTGATTTCTTTATTGACTCGTGGACATGTCCTATCACTCTGATGTGGACGGGATATAATAATACTGGTGATACCTGATTAAAATCTGTTTTTTGTGGCCTCATGGAGTCATCGAGTTTTTTTTATAAAAACCGATTGTAAAAAACCGCGCAGTGCCACCCCTGTTAAACCCCGGTTGACAAAGAATTCGGTACCCACTGACTGGTACCCACTGACTGATTCCTCGACTCAAGCTGTAAAAACAAATCTGAATTATAGGCCGCTGAAGTTCTCTGGAAATTGCAGTACCACCCACTTTGGACATTTCCATCTCGAAACTCTACTTCTAGCCTCACTAAGTTATTCTGCAAGCACGCAAACCCGGTGCTGCCTTTTCTTATCTTTGATATCCAAGTGAATATAACGATTAAAAGGTGATAATTCTTGTCGTCTATGGGGTGCACAGATGTAGTTTCTTTGCGTTGGCAAAGATATCCCTTATCCTGTCCATTCACATTTTGCCCATTCAGCTCACAATTGATTGGGAACTTGTAAATTAGATTTAACTGATGTCCGGTATTGAGAAATGTAACAAGAAATATTGGAAGATACCATCAATCACTCCGTGTATAATACCAAAATTGGAAGATAATCTTTATGTTCAAAAACTTCACCATGCAAAAGATGGCAGATTACACCTAATATATTCAATTATCTAAATCTATTTATCATATGAGCATCTCAATATAAAATTTATAATTTGATTGCTTTTGTACACCAACTTTGTATTTTTTGCTTTCTTATAAAGCAATGCTTACATTTTGATGACAACGTAACATACAACATGCTATAAGAGTTATCTTGTGTGTCATCTAGTTCATAGTTCTCCAAACATTCTCTCACAAACAGTTGCGGTCACAATACATAACTCCATATAAGTTAAAAAGTAAAAGAGATTATTGTTTCACACATACTTGAAGATTCTTGCAACTATGTTATCATTATCTTGTTCATCTATTAAATGGATAAATTCTTTTGAAATATCATCAAATGTAGTAAATTTATCATACATTAACCTGATTTTATTTAAAAAATATTAGATTTTTAATAGTGGAAATTTACGATAAGACATATTAATACTTATTTCATGTCAATTATCCACATTCTCGTGTAATAGATAGTTACATGCCCATGATTGTGGATAGCTTTTACGACACTAATGGATAGCTAGTACATCTAAGCTAGTGTTACATTCATATGTAAATAACATGTAGATGGCTAGATCAATTTAAAAGAAAGAATTTTACATATAATGAGGTAATATTTCTGCATTTTTAAAATTATAAATTTTTAAATAACATTGAAAATTTTGTTTCATGAAAAGACTTTGTAAAATTTTTTCTAATCGATGGGAAAAAAAATCCAAAAAAATATATATTTTAAATCGTTACGCAACATTTCACTTCTCTAAATTTTGAGGGACTTGCATAGATTAAAAAATAATCTTATGTGAAGCATAAATCATAACATAATTAAGATGTCAAAAGTGTAAGATTGATCAAATTGTTTTTGTAGATACAGTCTCTTCAATCAATAATAAGTCAATTCCTCTGCAAAAAGATGTATGTATATATTTCTATATCAAATTTAAAAGAATGAACTCAAAATTATTCGTTTGATTATATCAGCACAGATTTCTGTAGTCGTTTCTTCAAAAGCAGTCAATATTTTATAAAGTCATGATAAAAATACAAAATCTTCATATCAATTATTATCAGGTGTGATGTGAATGCATGTTAAAGATAAACTAAGCAATGCACAAAATGAGTATAAAAGCAATACTAGAGTAACATCGTGAATCTTTTGGTCAAGAAAGCTTATCTACGTGTCATACATCCTTGGGAACATGTAGCATATGTATATTCAATATAAGACAAATCTCAATATACTGCTTGCTCTCCACTGATGTGTAACCTATATGTCAAAGTCATATAACCTTTAAAAAAGGTAAACAAACAATTTCAGACATCTATACTCGAAAGTATTAAACAACGAGATGATGCTTTAGATTTTCACAAATTGATTCTAAATCCTACGATGAGATTCAGTATCTGATCTTCAAAGACGCCTTAAATAAGATACACGCAACGTAGAACAGCCAAAGCAACTCATAAAAAATCTCTTTAGACCAGTCATGGAAATAGGAACGATGACTCCAATAAGGGCCAAAATAATTTTATGAACTATTCTGGTGAATATTTCTAACATTAAGTAGGGATCATTCTCAAATTGTGCAATTTCAGTTTGAAACGCCTTGATCTGAATATAAAGAAAAGTATACTATGTAGCCGCAGTAGTGTACTACTGTGGCTACTGGGCCAACGGAGAGGACTGCGTCACCCACTCGGTTGCAGAGGACCTCGTTGGACTTTCGAATGTGGAGACTGAGAGTGAGGGAATCGATTCAATTTCTCAAGCTTGTTCTCCCGCGGCACTCGGATTCACATTCACTCGATCTTCCATGAGCACGAGAATGGAGGAACACACTTCTGAAGTCCTTACAGAGCAGGAAGCCGCTGTCTACGATCGTCAAATCCGTGTTTGGGGTGTCGATGCTCAACGAAGGTATGAAATTATCGCGTCCACCTTTCTTTCTGGTTCTTTCCCTGCTTGGTCGCTAACATGTGAAATCAAGGCGACGACGAGCAACCAAGTTTTTTTTGGTTGATGTTTCTTTTTATATGGACTTTTCTTTTTGTGCACCTGAGAGTGTCTGGAAACAAGGAAATTTTTCACGGAGGAATGTGATAATGGTTTCCTGAAGGATGTCAAACAATGAGGACTGTCTGGGAACCCTGTCTCTACTTTGTGAATTTCAAAAAACCGAAAGCCATGAAACCGAGAAAGTTTCGATCTTTTTCTGCACGTCTTGCAATGATAGATCATTTTGGTGTTTCGTTTCCTGGTTTTTCAATTTTCTCATTGTTTCGACCTCATTATTTTTGTAGCATGGTTTTCACTCTTTTCAGGTCCATCGACCAGACCTGCATGTGCCAGGAAATTTAGAGTGTGGTCCTGGTCCTCAGTTAAGATGATCACTGAACTTGGTCACTGCTATGGATGAAACTTACATACAGGCCTTTTGATCTAAGTATTTTGCCTCTAGTTTTTCATATTGTGATTTTCTTGTCGAGAAATGGACGATTTCCTTTTGAAAATCAATTCTACGATTTGCATAGATGCCTGCATAGATACAAATTGTGGTGTCCGTAGATCTCTTTTGTTGATACTCTATCGCTATTGTAGATTGTCCATAATTTTTCGTTGACCTGGCTTTGTTTGTAGATAAGCTGACTTTGTTCTGGAGAGGTTGGGCTGAGAGAGAGATACTAAATGAAATGCATGTCTAAATTTTTTTTGGATGTTTTTTTCAAGATAGAAGCTTTTAAAGTCCATAAGACTGAAGTTTCTTCAGGTGGTACTAGGTCTTAAGAATTATTTGCTATTATTTTTCCCAATCAAGTGTATTTCTATCCCTTGGACTTGACGCAGATTAAGTAAAGCTCGTGTTTTGGTGGTTGGCATCTATGGTGTCATCGCAGAGGTATCTTCTTTATTTATATGATTGATCTTCCCGAAAGATAGCTTAAGGACTGTACAACAATGACATTTGGTACTTTTCATTGCATTGTTTAACTGTTTGACAGTCGGGCTAGAAACTTCTTCAACAATGAAGTGAAGTGTTAGTAGAAAGACAGAGTTTAATTATCAATCCAACTGCAATGTTTGTCTCTTGCAGACATGCAAGAACTTAGTTTTAGCCGGGGTTGGCAGCTTGACATTGATGGATGATACACCAGTTACTTTGGATTCTGCCGCATCAAATTTTCTCATATACGTAGATGAGATCAACAAGGAAGCCAAATCTGTTGCCCAAGTCTGCGCTGAGGCTGTAGGAGATTACAATTCTATGGTTCGCGTTCAAGTTGAAAAGGGTACGTATTTGGATCTCAGCTGTTTGAAACCTCGCAAGACTTCATTCAAGTTATGAAGTAACATACACTTCAACTTGTTCAAGACAGTTCGCTAAGACGCCTGGAGCTTCGTGTCAATACTATTGACATGACAGTCTCAAGTGCAACTCCAGAAGGGATACATCTTGCAACTCTTGTAGATTTGTACTTCGTATGTACCCATGTTGTAAGCTTGCAATATGAAAATTATATTCATGTTACTTTTGGATTCTGTCGAAAACATGATTGCAATTGCAGGATACATCTTGGACAAACCTGGGGAATTTTTTGATGACTTTGATATCGTCATTCTGGGCCGATCATCACTCGATCTAAAGGTGTACAAATCTTACTTTCCATAAAGACATGTACATAGATTTTCGTCTTTCTGTTTCTATGTGTGAGTCACATATAGCTAACAGTGTGATACAGAGCTGCAATACATGTTGGAGTGTAGTTAAGGTCGCAGATGGCGTTTGAGATCGTGCTCTGACATTACAGATCATATTTTCCTTGCAGAAGAAAGTAAATGCGTTATGTCGATCGAGGCCTCAAAGAGTGGCATTCTACGCCGTTGATGTCAGAAATTCTTGTGGAAGTCTCTTCATCGACCTCCAAAGCTGCACATATAGATCTCAGGTAACAAGAAAACTTTTCTCCGTGCCATGCAGTGTTTTCAATCTGATTGTCAATTGTCCTCAATCAATTATTGCGAGTTCAGATTTCTGAAATATCTTCCGTTGGATGTCACCGGGAATCGCTTTGTCTGATTGTTCCTGCAGAAGAAAGATGATGACAAGGAGGTGGAGTACACCAAAAAGTCTTGCAGTTTGGAGGTATCTCACGAGTTATTTGAATGTTTTAGCTGTGCTAATTCTGTAGGGTCTTCTGTTACATAGTTTATGATTTCTTCTATGAAGGCAAGATGAGTTTTCCAGCTGTAAGAAAGAAATTTACACTAAATCACCTTGTTTGAATATTGCCACGTCATGGATCTGTACTACATATGAGATGATACCCAAACTACAACAAACGCGCAGTCTTAGTAGTCTACTGCATTCCTTTAGTCAGAATACGCTGCGTATCACCTGCAGCGATTCTTGGTTTCTGCTTGGATGTTCATATCTCATCTGTTGGCTGCTAGGTTGGTACATATATGCATGTTAAATTTGGTATCTTTATTGACTAGTATACATAAGAAGTTATATTCTAGAACATACCAGATGCCGGTGATTTATTTATTTAGACCACCGTTGTGATGCACAGGATTCTCTATCTGTTCGCTGGGATTCTTTACCGAAAAGGGCTTCCAAGCTTTTCTTTGCAATACGGAGTGAGCCAAGATAAACTCTCATGGACCTCAAACACAGGACTATAAGATATGACAGCATCTTTGTTATGTTTCATATGAACCTCATGTGGAAGATTGATGTATAGAAGAACCATTGTGATGATTTAATTGGTGGAAGTCGGCTTCTTGCCAAGAACTGACATTCTGATGTTGCAGTTGTTGAGGAGTACGAGCAAAAAGAGGATAAGCAGCCCGGACATCTTACAACTAATGATTTGCCAGCTTTGCTGGTTTTCGGCACTGAGCGTCTGCAAGCACAGGTATTTGTGTAACTTGTACGACTTCTGAACGTGAGGTTAGCTGAAGTCAAGAGGATGTTATAGTGAGAGGAAATGTTTTATCTGCTTCTGTCAGTTTCTCTACTCCGGAAGTTGCAATGTCTCTTGAACCAACAAGAACCCAGGCAATATAGAGTCGACAGTATCCACGCTAAGCTTGTGAACTTCATCCTCTCAGGGATTGGCGATGTCCATCGCTGTTGAAAACCTTTTGAAGAAAATTGCGGAAGCTGGGACATTCGAACTTTCTCCAGTTTGTGCAATCATGGGAGGTATCCTGGGGCAGGTAAGATGTAGAGCCAGTCGAATGCTTCAAAAGATTGGATTTATTGCATGGAGGCAAGGATAACTCAGTCTGTCAGCTGAGGATCCATGGTTGTGCTCGTTAATTTTGCCGCATTGAAGTTTTATCTCCGTTAATAACCATCTCGGACGTGAAAATAGGCTGTAGCTTCCTGCTGAAATTGGCTGTCACTGAGCATGCTTGGACCTCGTTTCGCAGGAAGTGTTGAAGCTCTTGTCTTGCAAAGGAGAACCAATCAAGAACCTTTTTTTCTTCGACGCGTCTGATGGGAAGGGCATGATTGAGGATGTGTCTCCTTGAACGACAGGACATCAAAAGCTGGAGTCTACATTTTATTTACAATTTTTCAGCCCAACTTAGCACCGAAGAGCTCTCACGTAGTGCTTAAGTTTCTTGTCACGGGGATTGGACTATTCCATTTACTACACCCACATCTCGATGGATACAACAACCACACAAGCATGTCGAAGGACTCTTTTCCGTACTTTTGTCCGTCGCTGTACATAACAGAAGCAATGGGTTTTTCCGAAGTTGTTGCAGTTGCCCATGGATTACCAATTTTCCTTCCGGCGAATGAAGTTTGAGTAACGTACAGGAGCCACGACGTGGCATCGCGGTTGTTTTTATACAAATATGCTGCTGAGAAGTTTTGAGCTCACATTGGCTGGCTGCTGATCCTATGGGCCGATAGTTGGAAGGGTAGGGTACTGTATTTACAAGGTCCAGAGTTCTGAGTATAGAAATCGGCCAGACCAACTCTGTCATCCTATAGAGTTTTCTCATCTATTTGGCGACATAAATACAGTTCAGTAGAGCACAAATGACGTTACGAGGCACATCCTTATTCCTCTGGCAATGTACGGAGATGCATGGAAAGCTGGGCAGGTACGTCAGATAGATGTTTGTGTGAGAGGGTGCAGGTCATTATCTCAAGTCGCTCGAGGTAGCTTACCTGCCGTTACCTTCTTGCATACGGGCTGTGTATAGTATCGTCCTACAGCGCCTTTGCTTTGTACTTCTCTTGATGGCTTGTGCCATCGACCTTTGTATTCCATGCTCCGCGGTTTTTCAGACGATGTGTTTCCACCCTAAAATTGTCAATGTCCTTGAAATACAAAATCGAATTTTTTTTTGTTGGTAAGTTTTTGTCTGATACGAAGTCCTCATCATCAAACAGAGTGATAATTGCACCCTTCGACGATCTACAGAACGCCCTGCGACCGAGACTTCAGGTGCATATATACTTCAACGACATAGCAGCAGTGTTTTCACCATAGAAAATCACTCGTAAGCGTAGTACCCAACTGCATATAATCTCACGGAAAATCGGAAGACTGGATCTCCGAGGTTTTCCAGGCTGACTAGAACATTTCAAATATAATATGGCGTGGGAAACGTGAAGATGTCAGGAAGATTGTTTGAAGATGTCATCAAAGGCGGAGTTCTGGGTTGGCACTAAACTTCGACTTACAAATTATATTTGAAATGACTTAGATGTGCTATTAGTGAAGCGTTATGAGGCATGTCCTTCTTCGCCGCTCTGTAAATCAGTGCCTCTTATGAACAAGTATTTCCCTACACATGGAAATATAAATAGTGCGTCCTCGTATTTCGTTTCTGAAGGGAGCTGGTGAAGACTGTTATCACCTGAAAATGAAACAAAAAGTTTCTACGAGGAGAAAGTGCACAAATAGAGTAGTAGCATTACTTGCCAAAAATATGGGTATATTCCATCAAGTCTTATGGGAACTAATCAAGGGTAGGATGCCCCAATATCATTAGAGTGGGATATACATTTTACTGCATCTTGTATATCAACATGCCAAGTATTTCCCCAAATTTTTGATCACATATCCGAAGGATTCTAGTCAAATGTTGTCATATAAAGATATCCATTATTTCCTAGAAAAGAATTTAAAGCATGAAAGAAATGCAAAAGAAAGAAAATTCCAACAAAGTAGGTAGATGGATGGAAAAGCAATACGGGACAAAAACTACACCACACTTTAATTGTAAATTTCTAATAGAGTATGAACATCATTGGCAAAAGTTATATGTGATCAATACATGTCACAATCCTTGAGAATAGTATTCACTCTCAATAAATAGAAGTATAAGAGTTTTCTTGGTGAGATACATCATTCCTAAAGCCTAGATCTCAGCTTGACTCTCACTTTTTTTTCCAAAGTAGATAATCACCTCAGCCATCAAACGTAAGAATGTTGTACCATGTTCCTCCGACCTGTTTTGATGCCATCTCAGTTCGACAAAAACTAGAGATAACGTACGCTTCCGCATCAATTTTGTCATTCGAATGTATTTTCAGCTTTTGAAAATGATCAAGATGTAGTAGTTGTATCAAGAGCTTTTCAACGATACCCAATTTGCCTATATTTCAACAGAGAGTGTTTGAAACGAAATATGCACAAACAGAATATTCCACTAACGAGAGATGATCTTTCGCAAATCAAAATCTTCAAGACAGAAAACAATCTAGCTTGAATTGCCTTTCTGTGCGCGAGTTTTGCCTGCGACCAGCATTGCACATGATTCAACTTCAGTCACCTGCTACTCTTGTCGTCCGTGACCACGGTCACCCGCGATCTAAATATCTGTCACCCATGACTCTCGTTGCCCATGACCACCGTCCTCAGCGACTCCTGTGCCCACAACTTACAAAACTGTCACCCGCAACTCATGTAGCCCGCGATTGCTATGTTCGTCACGGGCGACTGTCATTGCCCGTGACCATTGTTGCCCACGACCTGTCACCGTCAGAGCTATCACCGGCGACCACGTTTTTACTGACCACGTCTTCCAGAGGGCACCACGTCAACCGTGACTGCGGTACACCAACCACGTCCAAGTGCGACCACGTTGATTATAACCACGTGGACGGCTACCACGAGCCCTGCAACGAAGTTGGCTACGACCACGTCGCTCTTCGCCAGAAAACCTCGGTTACAGGGTCGACTCGACTCGAACCTTGCGCGTTCTACCTCCGCTGTAGAGGTGCGGGGTCCGCCGCTCCCGCGACCTCTCGGCTCGTCGCTCAGACTTCACTGCATAGAGGAAGTTATGGGGTCTGCCGCCGCTGTCCTACTCGATAAACTCGTTCATGGGAGACGAATCACTACTCCCAATCCACAAACCGCCTCTGTGAGCTGATTTCACAAAATTGAATTCATTGACGTTCCCTGCCGATGACAACCTTCGCCGGCACAACCTTCAGCTTCTTCACGCCACAAACTACTACAACCCATCAATCGAATCCCAAGAAGCACCTGACGAGACCTCCATACCAGGGCCTCGACAACGAGTAGAAATTGTAGAAAAAACTGCCAAAAATCACATGCGGGAAAAATTAGGCGACGAGCGCTCCAGCATGCCTCCATAAAACTACACTACGCTTCTATTCTTTTCAACACCTCTACTCTTTATGTACTCGTACGTTCACCCGCAAGGCTCACTCCTATCGGCTGTAACATAAAAATTCTCAGCAGCTTCAGTATGCACGGTCTTGACGTCGGGTTCTGTTACATATTCTGATAGGGACACCTCATCTCGCAACTCTACATTAGTAATTGTCTCTTAAATTTGTGTGGGAAAAAATTCTCATCTTTTCACTTTAGTTTTGTCATCGTCAGAAACTTGTTTCACAACCCTTATCTCTTGAAAGCAGAAAAAACACTTTTACTAATCACAAGTTTGTCATCAGTTCGAAACCAAAATTAGATATTCATAAAGTTCTCAGTATTGAAACTCAAAAGACAGTAAGTGTATCAATCTCTCGAAAGAAAAAATAGAGTAACAGAAAACTAAAACCTTTCAAACACTTTCACTTCAACCTAAACCGAGACTTCTATCTGCAACTAAGAAATGGAAAAAACCGTCGAGAATGAAAAAACTTCGCTGTTAGAAACTTCAAACCTAAACACTAAAAACACTCGTCTCCAAACTGAAAAAGAAAGAAAAAAAAACTAAATCTACTAATAGAAAAAAGAAAAAGCTCTGACACACAGTTCGAACCAGAACTTGCTCTGATATCAATTTTAAATGTAAAACCAAGCGTCACTCAAGCCAAGCACAAACACAAGACACACTCATATGACGTGGTTTACCCTCAGAGGCTATGTCCACGGCTGAAGCGCACGAGAAGATTTACTGACAATTAAATATTGAATGCATGATTGAGTATAAGGGGTTCTTTTGGTTCTCTCCTAGTTTGGAGTTGGATTGTTTGTATTGTATTTTTTAGACTTTTGACCCTTTGGGTCCCACGGGCTTGATCCATTTACCATATACCATAAGTCTTGGGGGTATATTTATACCCAAAGCCAGCGACACACATAGCTATAAATAGCTATAACCTGATGTTACTCCTTAACCGGAGTTAAGCTCAACAAATTTTAAAAAAAATTGAAGTGTTAAAAAATGAAAAAAATTTTAATGGAACAAATATATTAAAGCAAGAAGTATACAAAAATCATATGACACCAAACAGTCATATGCATACTTTTGGCTTCATTGTTCATCATCATGCAAATCATGTTACTCAAAATATAATTTTTGAGCCACATTGTTAAAAAATAAAAAAGTAGTTTGGATTTTTTATCAACTATACTTCTGATATCAATATCTCTTGCCATTTTTTTGAAAGTCATTATTTTGTGTTTTAAAATTTAACTTGAATTGACTTGAATTGATCTAAAATATAAAATTTTTTATTATTCATGTGATATTTAAATATAATCTTCACAAATCATTTTCATATCAAATGAAGATGATTTCATCTATCATGTTTTAATGTAAATCATTAGCAATTATGATTTAATTGTAAATGATTGCGTGTCTATCAAATGGAATCAACCCACCCAATCAATGACAAATAATAAACAAGTAATGAGCTTAAGAGATAAAGGTGTTTTCTCTCATTATTCATTTGCTCTTTACATTTTTTTATCAAATGAGTCATCAATGTGATCTTGGATCTTTGTATTAAATTTTTATTTTCATGCTTATCAATCTCAATGAGTTGATAAGCAAAGTACTACATTTTGTATAAAAACTATTGTTCAAAAGCTTAAAACAATTACATAGTTGTCACATTCATCCATCTACTTCAAAATCAAAGGTTGAAATGTATTACATCAATTATTTGTACCATAATTTTTAAAATTTTTCTAGTTGTTATCATTAATATTGCAAATTATAGATCTCGACATCTTGTTCAAACTCCTTAACTTTAAGTTAAATTTTATTTGTAATTTGTAGACAAGATACTTATTACGTCTATTATCTTTGAGTATGTAAAATCTATGATTTCAAACTTTTATGTGATGTTCAAGAGATGTACAAGAGAGATTGAAATGTAGATTTGCTAATGGTTAAGTGCTTAGGATCTAACATGAAATTATGACAGAGGAGCTTGCAAGAACATTGATAAAGTTTTGTCGTCTAAAATGAAGTTGTACATTATTAGATAGTGCATGAAGAAATTGACGATTTGCTTTATGCAAAATTTGAAGATTAGTATCCAAATCAATGTAGGAATATATGATTAAGCCATCTGCAAATTTTACACCAAAAAATTTGATAATTGTGATGAAAATAATTGGTCAAAATTCAAAATGCTATGATCAAAAAACATAAAATGATTTTCAATAGAAATACTACATTATTTGCATTTTATCATTTAGTTCTAATGAATATTCCATCATTTTGCTAATCTTATGCATGATTATCACATATCAAATAAGGTGTCGTGCGAATACATATCGCCATACACTCTACATCGCTGACATGCTACTCACATACACATACGCACACACATACACACATATAAGGCGCGAGAGAGTACACACTCAAATGTCACAACTGAAATATACGGGAAATTCCCCACTGGAATTCCCGTCGGTCAATTACCCTACTGGCAACAAACCGTCACCGTCACAAACATGAGTCAAGCCCAACCCACTCCACACTCGGAGAATCCAGGTCGACGCAAAGGGGAAAGTCACTCTACGCTCCCAACGCTTCCAGGCTCGACTCGAAGAACTAAAGTTCTTCGAGCCGTCCCCGACTCTATAC